CTAAAGACTACGAAGCCAGCACAGCAGTTATCATTTTTTACATCAGTAAAGGAAACGAGAAACTGCTATGTGGTTTTAACAGCTGGCCGAAAACACACTTAGTTTGTGTAAGAACAGGTTACTCAGTCAACTTGTATCTACCTCTCATTCGAGTCAAATATTGAATGTTCTGTTTCAAATTATATTATGTTGTATTTAAACAAGCACCTATTTGTGATGCAATGAGTCATAGCTCGTTTCATTTTGTTCTGCACTGACATTATGATAAATCATGTTTGTTGGTGGCTTCACTGCAATGTTCTGTATAGTATGAAGAGTTTTGATATCACCAGGGTTTTGTCCGTTTAGTTTTGAAGGGTTAACAACTTTAAGTTATCATGTGTGAAAGAGAAAAGTAGGAAATAAACTTCTGAAGGAGTGATTCAGAACTGCTTTTACAGTTAAAGTACAACACCAGGTGGAACAATCATCACTGCCTTTTACTCTGTATGGTTAGCTGCTAATGATGTTAACAACATATTAAATCTCTCTTCTAATGCATTTACAGTTTAGCCCTGGGTTAAACCCTCTAAATGCCAACAATGTATATGTAAAACACGTCTCAGAAAAAACGATCAAAAGAGTCCATTTCTTCTATCGTGGCAGTAAAGGCCTGCATCAATGCCTGCCAGCGAAGACAGATTGATAATATCTTCCTCAGCTGCCATTGACTTGCACAATGTATCAATATCCAGCGGGCCTAGCTGCTCACTCCCCCTCACAAACAGACCCAAAACCAGCGTTGGGCTCGCACTCCAAAACAACAGCCGCTGACATTTGCAAAGCATCCGCAGAGGAGAGGGAAAGCACAAATGTTCCAGCTCAGTGGGAGAGCACGGAGAGTGTGAGCCATTCCTTAAGATGTTGTTCATCTTCCGTGTCTTTATTCTCACTCAGCAGGTGGCCATTTTCCTGGCTCAGACTGAAGGTTCTTCAGCACACCTGGTTCATAGCTGGAGACAGCGGGGGGGGGTGGGGGGGGGGTTGCGGGGGGGGGGGGGGGGGGGGGGGGGGGGGGGGGGGGGGGGGGGGGGGGGGGGGGTGGTTGCGGGGCAGAGGGAGGTCACGGTGCGCAGAGCCGGCCAAGAGTGGCGGATTAACGGCAGCGCTTCATTCAGACAGACACCCGGCTCACTGCTCATTACTGCTGTAAGGGGATTTCAGCCGCAGCTACAAGCTCACCTATTTCTGCTGCTTTGTCTTTGGTTTGTGTCAATGTTTAGTAGTATGGGCAGTTACAATATGCACATGCTAAGTATTTGATATGTTCCAGTGTATCTTCCTTGCACAATTTAAAAGGAATACTTTATATGGCATCTTAACAACTTCATTTATGGCAAAGTGGTGTTGAGAAGATTTTTCTAACTAGAGGAACATTTGGCTAAGAAAGGCTTCCAGCAACACACCATCTGCTCTATGTTTTGTGTCCTTTTAATGAACGTGACCTCCATGAGAAACTGGCCTAAATAAAGTCAGGATGTTTTACATTTAAAATCTGTTTTTATGCAAATATTTGTTTTCAATCAATTTGAGATCATGATGTTCAGTTTCCTGTTTTTGGAAGCCAACCAATCAAACTGAAAATAAATGCAAATAACCTTGGAGTGTTTCACTATTTTATGTTTAAACATGCAACCCTTAAAGTAAACAAAAAAGCAAACCATTGTTGCCTTCTGGTTATAGATAAAAAAAGTAGTTGAGGTGTGTCAGTGAAGTGAACAAACAAACCAATGATGATTTAACCAAACTATTCTATCATATTTGTGCCTTTCTTCTTACAAATGTTGTAGATTATACCGTTTTGTGCTCGTAAAGCGTCTCTTTAGGCATGTTTTTCGTAAAAAGCACCAGGGGGTTTCCATCTCTCCAGGATACTGCTTATTATTCTGCTTACAACACAAACACACATCCAGCCCACCATTAAATACAATAACTTTAAACACAGAACAGATGTAGCGTGTTTGATTGCTGTTATTCTACACAGAGATACAGGTGGGCATCAGTACTGGATGGATAAACACAATGACAAGCCTTCCAACTGAAACTGTCAAACTCCAAATTCATCCCCAAGCACCTGATCATCTAGATAAGCCATCAAATGCATCCACAAGCGCACGCAGTTAGCAGACACACGCACACACGTTGGACCAAAAAGCCCTGAAGACTTGTATTGCTCCACTGGAGGAGACTCTGCGGTGAGTCTGTCCTCTCACTGCAGCACTCTGAGCTGTCAGCTGTATGTCCTGCCTGCGCTGTGTTTCCTCACCATGTACTAAATGCATAATATGTTAGGGGCCACGTTATACAATGCACTCCAATCTCATTAAGCAAAGACCCTTATTTGAGTGCAATGGCATATCTCTGCTAAACATTCAGAGTACAAGGTAAAGATGAAAGCTTAGAGTAAAAACAGATAGTCTTTTAATGCATACTTTCTCTTCCTATGTGGAACAGAGGAGAGGAGATAGGACCCATTCTCTGATGTCCTCTGCTCCGTGTTTGTGTAGAAGTGCTACTTCTGCACTCTGCATCTAGTGTTTTATTACTGCACCGTGAGTTCTAACCTTAGTGAGTGTAAAAGAATATCAACAACAGAAAAGGACACTCTCCCGGTTGCTCGTGTCGCATGCTTTTGTGGCTTCGCTCCTGCTATCCGGCCTCTCATGTCGGAGCCAAAGAGGCAGCCACACGGCCATGCAGTGAGCCATGACATCACAGAATTACAAATAGAGAGGCCCTTTGAAAATTACTCTTATCTTCATCCTGCTGAGGACTTTTGGAGGAGAATGAACTATCTACCAGCGGGGAGGTAAACAGCACCTTGGCAACTTTGACAGTATTTGCTGGTATCCCGGGGGGGGCCTAGCGAGTGGTGGGCTGCCTTCAAATATTTGCCTTGTGTGATCAGACTGTCATTGTCCCTTGTTTCACCCTCACTTGGCAGTGGGTGCACACACAGAGGAAGAAGGTAGGGAGTCTGCTTTCTAGTGGTTGGCAGTTTGGGAGAAATTATGTTCATTCACAGTTTGGGGATTGAGGCTCTCAGTTTGCTGGAGCAGACCCTTTCTGTTGGCTTTAGGGGGGGGGGTACCCTTTCGCCACATTCCCTTACAGTGAAAAAAACACACTGCTATCACAGAGCTGCTCTGTCTGTACACCTCAACACGAGCCAAGAGTGACACCTAGAAGTTCAATTCTGTATTCATGCTTCACAGAAAAGCACATCAAAACATGTTAGTATTGTCAGTGGTAACTCTTTGGTATTACATCTGTAAACATGTACAAAATGAAGGGTCTCAATATGTCAGCCTGTGCTGGCGGCATGAATGTGAACCTGCAGGAAAGAGAGGAGCCGCCTGGAAAACTGCCAGCAGGCTTGAGACAATGGAAGCTGATGCAACAATAGAACACCACAAAAACGCACATTTGTCTATGGACATGTAATGTAGGTAAGCGGGGCCTGTCTGCTTTTCACCGGCTTAGGAAAAGCTCTTCAAAGAAATGCTATCATCACTCTGCAACAGTAATTGAGAGAAGAGGGCGTGGTGGAAAAAAAAAAACTTCTCCTCGGATAAATATGACCCCAAGGCGGGAACTTTGCCGAGCTCAGCGGAACAGACCACGCGAGCAAAGGCAAACTGACATTCAGTTAAAAGAGCATCAAAGGAGAATGAGTCAGTGAGAGCTCAGTGCAGGAGGGCAAACAACCTTTAGCCTTCTGACGCCTCAGTTTATCATGTAGCACATCACCTCCAGATATGAAAGGCATGTGTGTAGTGTGAGAGGGTGACAGTAGGCTGGAAGTGAGAGTGACAACACGACTTATCCGTGTCACATGCCAAAGCTGAAACCCATCTGGCCAATGGCTTCCCCCTCTGCACTGCCTCCCCCCTCCCCAACCTCACTGCCTTGAGTGGGTACAGATGTGTGATCAGCAGACGCTCTCGAGCCCTTTTTGGACCCACAAGGCTCAACAGAGGCTGGCACACAGCTTGAAGAGCTCATGGCCAAAGTGTCACTGCACAATGTCACATCATTGCAAGGCGATTGTGTGAGGGTGTTAGAGGGGCTAGGGCTAAAAGCAGGACATTTTATCATTTGGAATGACATGCAATGCACAGCTCACAAAAACAGCAATATGATATTTCACATCGCTTATGAAACAATTGGGGTGACATTTTATAAGATTATCTTAAAATGACTATGATATTATAGGAAGAAAAGATGGAAAATCATGCACTCTTTCTCGGGAAAGTGCAGATTACTCAGTGCTACATCACACTGTCTCTTCTGAACACACTCTTCTTACTATTCCGAAATTAGACTTCATGTTATCTGAACTACAAACAGTGTAAACAATCAACTCATCTCGATTCCTGACACATTTCTCCATCAACAGAAACCCAACAGAAATTCATCTATGAAAAGCCAAAGACACCGGGTAAATAGACAACTCTGAAATGATTGAGAGGGATTTATTTGTGTCTGTTTGACAGAAGCTTGGCAGACAACTGTCCCACTGCCTCTATAGAGACATTGTCTGTATTGTCAGACAAATCAAATTCCACAACGGAAATATAATTACTTCTTTCAACTCAGCATGGCTGTTTTTTATATCTGAATGAGGCAGATTGTTGTTTATCTGTTATGTTGTGACAGCTTGAACATGCTTCCATTCAAAAGGACCATGCAATGGAAACTGATTATCTATGAAGCAACACACAATGACTACTTTGTCCACGAATTCGATTGATGGCTGTAATCTGACCATATTTTTGATCAATGCAAAAGATTAAACTCTATTAATTTTGCATGGATAATGTGTCCTTGATTCACCCTCACTCATGATCATGATACAAGTATTATTGTAGTTCCACATAACCCTTGGGGCTATATATGTCAACTATCCCACCTGAATCTTATACATGTCCCCCCCTACAGGGTCACTGTCACAGCGTTACCTCTTTCACTTTCTCCCGTCGCTCGTTGGTGGTGGGGTCGCTGGTTTGGCCGCCGTCTCTGCCCAGCGGGGGTTTGAGCAGACATCCTTTAAACTTGTTGTAACTGAAAGTATCCGGGTGGTCAGAGGAGGACGCTTTCATCGAGGCAGACTCCGTTATCAACCGGGGCAGAGTGAAGTCCTCCTGGGCTTTCCCCCCGGCCAGCCGCTCCTCGGTGGCCTCGTGAGAGACGCTCGGTTTGCGGATCAGGCTCTTCAGCTTGGTGCTGCTCTCTCCCTTGGCGGGGGTCATGCCCTGCTCCTTGGGTCTCTTCAGGTGCTCCCTGGCATCGTTCTCGGACCCCGAGCCAACAGTGACCGGCTGGGTCTCTGTCTTGGACAGAAAAATGCGTTTTAGTCGCACAGAGTCGGGCAAAAAGAAAAGGGCCCCAAAACAAAGTGTTACCAAACCCGAGAGAAAGAGCAGAAACACGAATTTCTGGGACAGGCGCAGACCCATGCCCGATGCCGACACGCCGGGCAACTTTCGGAAAACCATTGAAACTTTTGTTGAGACGTTGCTTTACAGGATTGTATCCGACACCTCACAGTGTGTTGACAGTCTCCACTCTACTGAGGAGCTTCACTGCTGCGTTGGGGCATGTGTAAAAACTAAATATGCCGGATTTTAAACACACCCCCGTGACAGTTACAGAGGAGCACAAACAGCCAGCGCTGTCTTTATCGCTCTATCGATTGGATCTGCATAAGCGAAGGTCAGGCCTGCCTACATCAACAATTTACCAGTCATTGGCAACACAACTCGAGAGGTTTTATCTACATAACGGGATCACTGACATCAATAGATTGCAGGATTTGGGTTTAGAAATGTGAAACGGAACAGGGCTCCGGGGCTGACTGATAAATGGCACCAGCGTTGTCCTGAAAGCTATATTCAAGAATAACAGGATTACCAGAGCACACGCCAGGCTAGCGAATACATGCACTCTTATAAGATATAATCGCAGTCTGCCAAGCCTGTGAACAAAGTTGTGTCTCGATGCATTATTCCACGCCGTGCAAAATCGTCAATAACACATTGCCCTACGGTGCAAAACCTCAAGCGTGCAGCAGAGCATCTTTTCCTGGTCTCCGTTCAAACCGACTCACGTCTCTGCATTATTAGCTCCCGAAATCACATGTAAGATCGCGAGTCGTGTTTTTAGTTTGCATCTATCCTGTACAGCTGCAGGACGGAAACGCGTGTATATTCATGTCGCCTATCTGTCAATCTCCTCCAGTGTATCGCCTCCGATTCCCCCTCACACTGGTGTCAACACGCCGGGCGAAACAAATCGGCGGATGACATGAAAGAAGGCGGGTTTTTTTGTCCCATGCGAAGTTATCCTAGCCCCTGATCCAAAATCCAGAGAATAAACAAATCCACAATCCAGTCCGCCGGGTGTCCAACAAAGACCGACACACCGCCGTCCGTCCGTCCGCCTGCCGTGCCTCCTCCTCCGCCTGTAGTGCGCACTTGTGTCGCTGTGCCGTGGACGTCCGCCTGCGTAAAAAAGCGAGGGGAGAGGGGCTGGAAATGTAACATATAGTGCAGGCAGGGGGCGAGGAGGAGGGGGGGGGAGAGAAGAAAAACGGTCCGCTGCTCGACAATCCAGTGGGCTGGTCGGATTTCTTGATGGATATTCACAGCGGCTTATCACAACACACTACAGTTAAGCCATGTGCACAAAAGCAGAGAGGTCTGAATGGCTCTGTACATTAGAAAACCATCCGCACCCCCCCCCTCACGAGGAAAATGAGCTCGTTTAATCCTGGAAAAGCTCTTAGAAACGGATAGATATCTGCCACGGATGTCTCAACAGTCCTCAGGAATTAAATAAGCAATACAATGAGCTAAAAATAACAATGTGGTGCTTTCTAACAAGCCCACCATTCAATATTTTATGGGTTATTTTAAAGCCCATATTTGTCTATGGATGTGACCCTGTGGTAAGACACAAACCTGATGAGTACCTTCAAGTACCTGTACCCAATATACAAGCTGTTAATACACTTTTCAATCAATCAATGAGGTGTGCATCAATTTAATATATTTTATTTGACTTTTAATCAAACGTGTTGTTGACTATGCTATTCATGTTCTCTTTTGCTAGCCTGCTGTACATCACCAGTGTGCCTTTCACTTAATAATCGCTTTTTCGCCATTGACGATAACGTAAACTCAAAAATAAATAAACATAAAACGTGTCCAGCAGGTCAATTACCCTGGTTTGGCAGACATCCAACGATTCATCAAAGACTCTTCTACCAAGCTGAAACTTAAAAATAGTATGTCCGCTATGCATTAAAGAAGATTTGTAACATCTTTGCCGCGTTGTTGCAGCTCCTGATTAGCCAAAAACCTGTGCCAGCGAACCTGTAGCGTACACGCCAAAACTAATGTGGCAACCGGAAGTGACGCATCCACCTGTTGTCTTGTTTGAGCAACACCACCTTTTTAATTAAAATATTTTACATTTTGTTTAGCTTATTATTGAGTTAAAAGCTAATTTCTTACACATATAATTAATAACAATATTTTATTTTATTTTATTTCTATTACATATATTCTTCCGCATCATACACAAGCTTGGAAAATGGCTACCATGTTTGTTTGGCTGAGTCATTTTTAATGTAAAACAGGTGGGCCATTTTTTATAACAGAGTTGTATTCTCTAAAGTGTTAACTGTTGAAAAAGATGATGGATGAGTGTTAAAACTGGGGCTAGATGCTCATGATGGATCACAAAGTGCCTCTTGGTCCCATTTTTTAACACCAGTTCCCATTATTTATGTTTGTTGTTACTTGATTCATTGGGTCTGTGTTATTGTGATTTCATTTAAAGGTATATACTTAGTTCATTATGGCAACAAAGTAAACTAGAGAATATTTTATGTCATTGTCTGCATTAAATTCCTCTTCTATTGATCCCCAGGTGTGTTGGTACACAGGAAGTTTAGAAAAGCGTGTTTGCATATTGTTTACATAAGCAAGATAGTAGATAAAGTGTAAACACAGTGTTTTCTCAGTATTAAATAAGATAGATGGGCCCATGAGTTGGCCATTACTGAAGAGCCTGCACAGCACTATTCAACTAATGCACCTGAAAGCAGAAATTAGAAAACAGAGGGCTGATCGGATTCAATATTGGTCTTTAATTACACCTCGTAACCCCGCGACCTCTGCTGTTCCTTAGAGGTTTTTTGTCATTGTGTAGTCCAAAAGTTTCCCAGGATATCCCAACAATCAGTATATTCAATGTAGACACTCAGTGTCATTGACTTTCCTGACAATGTGTGTGATGTATAATGAACTCTTGATGCGCCTTGAGCACAGATCTTCCTCTTTTCTTTCCTTTGTCTCCTTCTCTGTTGTTGAAATAATCATTTCAAAGTAAAAGTGGATATTTTTCTTTCTTCCAGGCAAAAAAGTTGACTCTAATTTCCTGTGAAAGCCAAAGTCTGCACTGGTAATATAAGCACATTTTTAAGATTTGTGTCATGAAGCACCTCAGGTTCTTTTTTATCAGTTGCATATGGGGGGGCAAGCTAATTTTAAGGTAATTTGTACGGCATTTGACCCCACATTTATACCGCTAATCCATCTCCTTCAGCAGCCCTAATTGCCTCAGACTGGTTGTCTGTAATTTACAGACAGAGACAGATCTGTTGAATTTGCCTTTTGTATTTTCTGATCCAAGATCATTTCCTCTCAAAGTAGGTAAATCTATGAAGAATTGTGTGGGCTTCCTCGCTGACAAAAGGACAGTTTGTAGTCTGAGAGAGGGGCTTTGTGATGGCTCAGCGTCTGTGTGGATTAACGCTTTCGTCTTGTGTGTTTCATCACTCTATGAACTACAGCATACACCCAGCAGCCACTTTATTAATGTACACCTGTACAATCTGATGCAATCAAATGCAATTGTTCTGCCATATTGTAATGATGCCTACAATATTCCGTTTTTATATAACTATTAATGAAATATATCTAAATCTATGTTTTAGCATTTGGTACATAAGTGTTGTAATGGACTCAATTATATTAAAAGGTGATTATTATAGATGTACATTTGTAGGACAAAAAATAAAGCACAGCACCAACTTTAACATATCATTTCATTTGACCCAATTCTGACTAAGTAAAAACACAACTTAACATTATAATCTTTGTAAAGGTATATATTATTGCAGGGATATTGGAAGGCTCGACATTATTCACATAACTTAAAACATTGCTTCTGATTGTTCTGATGTTGAACAGCTCCAAGAATAGGCATACCATTCCTGTCATCACTGAGCATTTAAAAAAACACACCTAATGGATTATTCATATGTTTATGCAGATTCAAACTAAATGTAATACCAACTTGTGCCTTGTAAAAATAAAAATAAATGTAATAGACATATCAAGTCTGTTTTTCTCAAAAGGCCAAACTACACATGAGTCGTTGAGCTTGCATGAAGCTGCGCGGCCTCTGACAGCCTCCTTTATCACAAAGATAAATGAGAAATGCAATACAGTCTCACCACTACCAACAGGCAAGGGTGAAATCCAAGCACAGACATTTTCCACAGAAAACAAATAGTTTATATAGGTTAACAGCTCCTACAAAGGTCCTTCATATATGCTCTGTAGTCATCACACCACTGAAAATAACTACTGTTGTTTGGACACTGTACACAATTTCACAGCAAGCATGTGTCATTTCTGGTGACTCTATGCTGTTCATAATGCAACACTGGCAACACACACACACACACACACACACACACACACACACACACACACACACACACACACACACACAAACTGATCCTTCATGTACTACAAACATCATTTATGAGCTTTGAGGAGGAAATATGTTGCATGTGAAGTTGTTCACATCAGTCTGAGTCATGGTTTATTGGTTTGGAAGCATATCCTCACATAGAATACATTTGGGGATAAAGACTATGAATTTTCTCCCTTTTTTCTACTCTTGTATGTTATAAAACATCTCATACAAACACAACTCATAGGAGTGATGAAGTGTAATACATTATTTTTCCCTTCACTCTTAAATCTGAGACTTAATTTACACTGTTGCCACAGAAAATCAGGGTTCTTACACTTACGAAATTACTCTAAAAGTATGCAGGGTGCGGCCTAAAACAGCTGACTGTCTGTTAAAAAATTCTGCAGAGGGTCACAGATTGTAACGAGTTCTGTGATCCATAACCATTTCTGCTCTTGTATTCAAAAATGTAATTCTGTCCCAACCCGCACTGATGTTTTATTCATCAAACAAGATGCCAATGAGAAAGTCCATCTCTGTGTTCCGCTCACTCCAATACATCAAACAGCAGGCAGAGACATATTGGTCCGTGCCAGCGTGTCCAGATTAATAATCTCACCCGTGCCCCGTTATTTGTTTCTCTAAGCGCCACTGCAAAGCATTCTCTGGCATCAGGAATCATGGCTCTGCAGGATGCTTGATGTGGAGACATAAATTACACAGATAGCTTTTTGGGGATGGGGTGCTGACCCTGGTGCATGATGTGAGGGAGATATCTGACTCAGCACACTGCAGATGTGGACCACATTGTAACCATCCATAAATTCAGGGTCACCTGACAAGATGTGAGTCTGGCAACTCAATCATGATGTGTCTGATGAGGAATCTCCTTATCTTATTATGGGGTGGTTTATTGAAGCTGTGTGTATCCTGCAGTGATGGAAAAAGGGTACTCAGACCCTTTTCCCAATAGTAAAAGTATTAAAACCACAAGTTGACATACTTTGGTAAAAGTAAATATCCTGGACTTGGAATAGTGTTTAAGTGAAAGCACACATGTGTGATCAGTCTACTGTACTAGAAGTTTAAAAGTTAAATAAAGAAATGTTGTGTATTGATGCTCAGTCCTGAGATTAAACTTCAATACAAGCCCATTAAAAACTCTCCTTGGTCCTGTGTGTCCATATTAGTTGAAGCACCAAACAGTAAAATACATATGCAGAATGACCCATGTCAGAGTGGAAAATCTATAAAAAGTGTACTACATGGCTTAGTTGAATGCTCGATTCTGATTGGTGAATTTGGACATTCCAGGGGGTTTTATTTCTCGCTAACACACCACTGTTAAGGAGAACAGACCGTTGCTAAGAAGGATTGAGGGACTAGGTGTAGTCATTTCAGAAAACAACATGGAATACTGTCGCAGCAGTTCGAAGCAATACGATCATTTTTAAATTTGCGTATAGGTATCCTGTGTACCATGTCAGTGTTTTTTGTTTTCATCGATGACTGCCTAGCTGCACATATGATGATACTGGCTATTTATTTAAAGTCCCAATCTGCATAGTAAAGATATTTTTCAACTAATAGTAGTGGAGATATTTCTCTGTTATGTAGTGGAGTTGAAGTATACAAAGTCAACACTCAAGCACGAGTTACTCAACATTTTATTTAAGTACATTACTTGTGTAAATGTGCTCAGTAACTTTCCACCACCTGAATCCAAACAAGTGCTGCATATGCTAAACTAAATGTGCATAATTCCTCTGAAAAGATGTGGGTCTCAAGTGGCATGTTATCCTCGTCTCTCTCCGCAAAATAAATAGAATACAGCTGAGTTCGGCTTCTGTGCAAATAGTGTCAGTGGAACAATAAACTCAGTTGTATTGCCTTTCTGAAGTTATATGTGTCTGCTCCTTTTATAGACGGAAACAAACTGCTGTGTGCATGCGACCATGAGTGACTCATCTCCAGCAGCCTCACAATCAAAACATTCCTTGCTGTGTAACGAAATATGTTCAGAGCAACTTAGCCAACGCTGAAAGTGGCAACATTCAGTTGCGAGAAACATCTATGCAATAGTTCCAAGTTGTTGTTTTTTATAGCTTAAACACAACAATTAGCCATACATTGGAGCTGGTATATGGGCCATGTAAATGAGAGTGGATGCAATAGCAAACACACCATTAAGCTGATAGAATGGGGCCACAGGAGCCCTGACACACCAATTAAACATGCAAGTATGCTTTTAGTGTACTAACCATTCCTAAAATGACATTAAAGTGAATAAGTAGGGGCATGTTCAGAGATGACAGCACTTGTTAAAGAGCTGTTTAAATGTATGGCCACACAGTGCCATCTACTGGTGTTCACATGCATTACAAGCAGAGCCCTGAGATGTAATTGAAGATGTATTTGTGTTAAATTCACCTTTCAGTCATTTGTACTAACATTTAAACAGAATATTGACACCAGCACCAGAATTTGTAAAGCAAATAAAATCAAAACCTCCATTCCTTCGTGTATTCAGAGATGACTGTGGGTCAGACTGCTCCGATATTAAAAACAAACACCATTATAATATGTAAAGGGCAGACACTCTAAACATCAAAAAGCCATCAGTAGAAAATAAACAGAAGAGCCCTCACGGAAACAAGACCAATTTAACCGGCCTTACCCTGGTGAGAATCTAGTTTACAGACAGCTTAGACCCGGTTATTTAGCTTAGGCGAAATAAAAGTAAATAAACCGACAGTCCATTTGAAAAGCTTTCAGGCACAATTCACACCAGAGAAGGCTATTAAATATTTGGCATGAGTTTAATGTGTGATCATGGCACTGTAAAATAGGACCTGTGAAATCAGAGTCAGTTAATTAAATTCTGTTCGCAGCTTCAGATGAATTCACAAGAGTAGATATAAATATATATGTCTCACTGCTAAATCTGAATTAAACTAAATGGAAGCAGAGATGAGATACTGTATTTAATTCGTCCCAAATGACAGTTTTGAGTCAAAGATGCTTAATATACTAAGTAAAATAAAAGCAATATAATGCAATCATACAGAAATAAAACAGCCACAAGGGAAACAGATATAGGACTCAAGTTCTTTTGTAATTGTGTGCACCCCTGTTGAGTGTTGCTTGAAGTGGTTCCCGAACTATTTTGATGAGATGGATCAAAAGGATATTAAAGGAGGGAACATATATTTCCACTAAACAAAATGTAAATTAAGACTTTCCTTGATACTCCTTTAACCCTGTAGAAACTAGAAAATGCATTTCCTGCTGAAAATGCGTGTGAATGCTGTAAACTGCGCACATTTGTTGCTGAACTTGGCTGAAGATGTGCAGTGAATGTGTCAAAGTTACTCGTGTGCAATATTATTTAATAAATCGTTAAGATAGCTATCTAGAATACATTGTCACTAACTCCAAACATTAGCTTTAGCCAGCCTTTTTTCCATGGGCATGTTAGAGAATGTCACATGTTATCGTTATCATTACATTGTCATCCTTACTGATAAACAACGCATTATATCTAAGTTCATCATGAAAATAGTATATTAACTTGCCTTCCCGTTACGTTTGCAACACTGACTGGTACATGCAAAAAAAGTAGTAAGTAGGCTTGTTAAGCATGGCGCAGTCTTCCTTCTATGAGTTATTGAGATTAAGCAAAGTGTCACTCATCCTTCCGCCTTTAGCCTTCATCTGGCATTTTTATTTAAGGAACAGGCAATAGATGTAGGTAGTCCAAACGCTAGAAAACATCATGTGTCTAGGTGGATGTCAACAATCCTCTGGCTGCCATCAAAGAAGTAGTAAGGTGAGATTCAGGCCACGACTCAGGATGAACAGCATCCCACTAGTAATACCTCTTTGGTTGGAGATCTGACAACCAATTATGGTTGTTTGCAGCCAAACAAGTTGGGAAACATTGGCTTAAATCAGAATCAGAATACCTTTATTAGTCCCACAGAGGGGAAATGTACATTCTTACAGCAAAAAGCCAAAAACAGCTTAATGTTACCCAAGAAGCATGCATAAAAAAGTATTAAAGATTTTAAAAAAGTTACACAATTTACAAAATACACATCCTGTAACAGAGGATTTAGCAGCCAGGTATATATTGCAGTTATTAACGGCATATACACATATATATATAGCACATAGTTGCTTGCCATTTTGCCAGTTACACTTACTTAGCAGCTAGTTAACAAAAAGACTGAACACTGGAATACAGCTCTACAAAATCACCTCTACAGCTCATATAAGCAATGTGTTGTTTGAGTCTAGTGGCCACAACAACAACGAGGGTATTAAAATGTTCACTACATGTATTATTCTTAATACCATTACAAAAGAAATATGTATCAGCAACTGTTCCTCCTTCCTTCTCATTCTCCCATGATCTCTTATCCTCCTTCTCTTATGATTGCAATTATTTATCAACAAGAGATAAGAAGTACTTTATTGATCCTAATTTTGGAAGTGTTGCTGCACCAACTGGAGAAAAGCGGTCAGGAAGGCCTGCTGTTGAGCAATCTCCTCCCTTCTAAAGCCTGCATCCAACTCCCTCGTCCGGGCAGCTAGCTGCAGTTCATGTAGCTGTTCCTCCTGGGCCAGGTACCATTCCTCCTGGGTCAGGTGCCGTTCATGTAGCTGTTCCTCCTGGGCCAGGTACCGTTCCTGCTGGGCCCGGTGATGTTTCTCCTGGGCCAGGTTCTGTTCATGGTGCCGTTCCTGCTGGGGCAGATCTGCGGTGAGCATCTCCCTCAGGTCTGTGAGGTGCTCCTCTCTTCGTTTCCTCTTGCCTGGATGACAATAAGATAATTCAGGTTGTTATAGCAGCAACAGCAATAAGAATGAAAAACACAGGACAGGTCACACAAGGATATAAGAATAACATGTATAAACAGAACAACAGTAAGGATGAACAAAAGACAGTTCTGGCCCTAGATGTTAACAATGATTGTGAAAGTGAATTACATTATGTCCAGCCTGTTGATAATGAATATAAATATAATATATAAAATAGGATGTCACACACAATTGTACTAGCTGCAACATAAATAGTTCTTAGTACTTTAACTTTTGGTACGTTACTTTACTTGTAACAGAGCATTTCCACACAGTGGTATTGCTTATTTTACTTACAATGGTCTAAAGTTTTTTTTTTAAAGTCACAATTCCAGTCGTTTTGCCATGCCTATTTCTTACCTAGAACCACACGCTGCGGGGTCGCGCTGGCGCTCGGCGTTGCTTGTGCTCGAGTTGGTGTCTGTGCTTGACTTTGTGTTGGGGACGGTGCACTGCCATCAGTCGTTGTTTGGGACTGTTCCTCGTCGCTAGTCACAACGGCATCGTCTAGAACAGCATACATGACTTGTTAATTCCACAAACTACTGCAGCACAATACTAAATAGCAACAACAACTCTAGAAAACTGAACGTAAACAATGGCATATATGGTGTACGTAAACAATAGCTCTAGCTAATGCTCTGCCTTTGTGTTGGCTAATTAGCTCTTCGGGGCTCCATAAAAGCATGGGTTGTCGAACATAAAAGGATAAAATAGACGTGTTTGTTAGAAGTGAGCTTTACAATAGATAGGGATACAACGCTTTCAAGAAATAACAGAGCGTTAGCAAAAACTTACCATCCTCCAGGCCTCCCTCCCTCCCAAAGTTGGCCGGTCTAAGGCCGTATATGGCGTCCATCCTGTCAAACCACTTCCACGTTTTTCTACTGGAACCACTCCGGCCTTTGTGGTCCTTGACGGCTCTATACTCGCTCTTCAGATTTTTAAGTTTTTATCTACACTGGTGAAACGTTCTCGTGAATCCGCGTGCGGCCAACAGTGCAGAGACCTCCTGGAACACTTTCTCGTTGCGCCGTCGAGCTCCCGCTGTAGTATCTGTAAATACTGTAGCTCCTCTGTTTCAAAAATGATGCTTGATATATGTGATGCTTGGGGTGGGGATTATCCTTTATATATACAGTCTATGGGATTATCTCGCGGACCAATTGTGACGATTCTCTCTGACCAATCAGCAGTCGGGAGTGTTTACGTCACTAGTTTAGCATATTTTCAGCTCGCTTGGAACCTCAATTTAGGAGGGGCCAAAAAAAAGTGAAAAAGTACCCGTGAGCAGGTACTACCCCTAGTGGAAAAGCAAAAAAGAGCGGGCCGACCCAAACCAAACCGCACCAAAACCTGCAGTGGAAAAGCGCCATAAATCACATATGTAGTTTGATCAATCCAAACTAAATTATTTTACAAATGGGGGTTTGTGTGCAGGAATATTTAGCGAATAAGCGTCTGCAGGCGCCAACTTCATATTTACTACACAGAAAAGAGAGTGTTACTTATCTTCCTATACCTCTTGACAAGAATGCTATCAAGTGTTTCCCAACGTCACAAACTATTCTTTTTTTCTGCATTAAATATGACCACTTGACCCCAGAATTTGCTGAGATTAAAGACAATGGTATCTTAGATTATTCAATTTTAAAATATCTTCAAATAAAGCGCTGTTAACTGAAGATTTAGGAAACATTTAATATATATTGTGGATTTAAGAACCGGACACTCTTATCACACAAACACAATTTAGCTTTTGTTTGCTTGAACTGTTTGTTGATCTGCGAATTTAAGCTTGTTTTACGCTTTAGGCTACTTACTGTTAATTCCTCTGGATGAGTATCAGCTAAAATCCCTACAAATGCAAATATATAAAGAGGATTTCCAGCAAACAACAATACTGGTAATTATAGTCTCAAATTAAACTCTTCAGATGTAAAATGAACTTGGCTACCCAGAGGCTCTGCTAGATGAAATGTAACAACTGCCAAGAATTAAAACGAGTGAATATTATAAATGGGGTATATCCATTCCAGCAGAAAATGTGAGTGTTAGGCCAAGCTGGTTTAGGATCAGATGAGTCATTGTGATTTCCATTGAACAGATAATAAACACACAGGGGTCACAGAACTGCATATCTCACCATCCCCTGCAAACGGTCACAATGCCTTTAGCCGAGAAAATGCCATTAAAGCAGACAGTTCATTCTCAGTTTATTAGAGTCAATTTAAACTCAACAAAGTATCCAATTATAACATGTCCTCCAGATAAACAAATCCAGCTCTTTCAGTATTGTTTACTTCTGGGACTCATTCTGTTGTGCCTGTTTTCTGAATGTTCAATTCTTTTTATTTCATTATATTGTGCGGCACTCTCCCGTCTGGCCACAAAAGGTTATTTTATTTCATCTTTGTAGATCTCGCAGGGAGGTTGTTAGTACTTTCCTCTGCCTCATATTATTGCTTAACCCTGTAAAGCCCAAAGAAAAACATTAGAATTAATTAGAGTTTTCACATTTTGGTAACTTTTTAAGGAAATGTTGTAATATTGCAACGTTGGGCTTAGGTGGGAGCAGAATTTCTGTATTTCTACTCACATTGTCTGAATAAATATATTGAACAACTAAGGGTTGATTTGCAGGATTGATTGCTTACTTAGCCCTGTATCAGTATATAGCATGAATAATAAGTCATATTTGTTATGAATAGTCATTTATTATATATGAATACAATGGTAGTCCCAAAAACAGTTCCTATCGTCGGAAAAGCAGAGACGGACGTCACACTTGGCGCATCGTGTGTTTGTGTACCCTGTACTGCAGTGTCTGCAGCGTCCTCTCTTTGTCTTTTACATTACATGTTACTTGTTAGACGCTTTTATCCAAAGCGACTTACATACTCAATACTGTGGGCAATCCCCACAGGTGCAATTTGGGTGAAGTGTCTTGCCCAGGGACACAACGACATGCTGACTGCAGTGGGGTTTGAACCTGATCCGAACACCAACGCACAAGCTGCACCACATGCCTCTTCACTGGAAAATGTGCCATTAGGTCCTTGCGTACATCCAGTGGAGGTTGTGATCTCTTGGATGGGGCCCCGTTTGGTGGACTCCCATCACCTGAGGACGGTCTATTCTGAGCAATCAACGGGCTCCTTGATGTCACTGTCGCTGCTGGGCTCCCGTTGCCTGAAGATGGTCGTCCTCTCTTGGGTGTTTTCAGAGGAGTTGTGTTCACCTGATTAGAACAGAATCAATCACGATACATGTCAAAAATACATTAGGATACAAGTCAAAAATATTACAGTGAAATATAAAAAAATATTACAAACGGCAAATAGCAGAAATGCATTCTTACCAGGATGAGAGAGGATGCTAGATCTGCCTGAAACTGTCTCCTGGTCAGGATCTCCTGCTTTGGCATCTTTAGAGCTTTGCACTCCCGCTTGTAGAGGAGCCAGGCTTTGATCACAGCAAGGATGATGGTGTGCCAGAAGATGTACACGTACCAGCGTCGGGACTTCATGGGTCTGGTCCAGCAAAGGATGACACAAGTGTGACCGCTCTGCTGTCATACCATTTGACAGCACAGATGTTGTGGTTAGCCTCCACTCGGATGTCAAAGCTTCCTCTCCCTTTTTTCTTCAAGCTCTTTTCCTCTTCAAGGTTACAGTTGGGTAAGCACACCTGCCTGGCTGTTCCCACATAATAAATCCCACGATCAAGGAGCTTCACTACCAATGGGACACAGGTGAAGTAGTTGTCTGCGTAGATCTTGTAGTTCTGACCTTCTGGAAGCGTGGAGGCAAGCTTCATCACAACATCACCTGACAATCCAAGTTCAGACTTGGCTCGTATCCCATTGACACTGCCTTGGTACACATCAAAGTCACAGATCATTCGGAGATTCCAGTTCTCACCCACTTTCTCTGTTTTGGATGGCAGCAATCACATCCATGCACTGAATCCTTTGAATCTGAATCCTATTTACATTGTACACTTGAGTGACACAATACTACCTGGCTTAGCCTATTATCATAATAAAAGGAATACCTACACCCATACATGCAGGTAAACCAGTTCAACAAGTCACACAATCCTGCCTATTATCATAATAAAAGGAATACCTACACCCATACATGCAGGTAAACCAGTTCAACAAGTCACACAATCCTGCCTATTATCATAATAAAAGGAATACCTACACCCATACATGCAGGTAAACCAATTCAACAAGTCACACAATGCTGTCTGGCTAATGATAACAGGCTAATTATCATACTAAAAGGGATACATCCAAGTGTCCCAACACATTTCAGAAAGAACGGTTTCTGTCAAAATCGAAATCTAATTAGATGAATGTATTCCACAATAACTATTATGTACATGTTCTAGACATTGTAATAATCACAACACATTTTTTTTTAGGCATTTTACTTCTGACAAATCCAATAAAACAAAGAGATGTTGCAATAGCATTGTGAGGCTGAACAAAAGGACATTTTGACTATGTGAATGTAGTCTTTAAAAAAACTAAAACATTTACTGACTTTTTTAGGATAGCTTAAAGTAATGTTGTAAAATTACAACAGTGGGCCTTACAGGGTTAAAGGCACACCAGCAAGAGTACATACCTGCAAAGTTTTTACTTTTACAGTTATGCCTAATCTGTTCATTTTAATTGATGCTACGTTATACTTCAATATCACAGCATTTAGCCGACAGCTGGAGTGCGTAGTTGCAAATTACGATTTAAAAAACTTAAAATGCAAGTACATATTGTATAATGTATAGTATAAAAAGGTGTACTTAGCCAATGGAAGGAAAATAAACTACAGCCTGGTTGTAGCTGCACCTGGAAGTAACAGTCACGTTTTATATACAAAACAAAGAGTGACTAACAAAAAATGCATCAAAAATTATTATTATGATTTTAGCCTTTGCAGACCATTTACATGCACACAAAGCTATATAACGCAAGCCCAACATGCGTTACAGTGCCTCTTTAAGTATAGTCCTCAGATTAAAGGATACTGAAAAGCCTTAACTAACTTTTACTAATGCTGTTATTTGGTCGAAAACAACAGATACATCTTTCCGGAATCATGAGACGTTGACACATCATTGCTATAAAGTAAAACTTTAATTTGGTATATAGTTTCTGACGTTGTTTCTCTTATTAGTTCACTGTTCATTACAGGAATGGAATGCTGAAAGCTATAGATTAATCAACAAGAAAGTGCACACGTGTTAACTTTCAAATTCAGATTTGTACATTATTATAATTAATTTCTAATACATTTTTCTCTTTATATATATATTCCCATTTATGTGTATATAAAACAATAAAAACCTCTTAATTATTGCAAAATAGAAATTGACACATGAATTCAAACACATGAAGATGAATAAAACAGACAAAGAATTAAAGGGAAATATAATCCACTCTTAAAGGTGGGGTAGGTAATTTTGGAGAAACCAGCTCGAGTGCGCTAGAATTTGAAAATACACAGCCGGAAAAAATCTGCCACTTCCTTACAGAGCCCCTCCTCCAACACACATGGAAGGCTGACAGGCAGGTAGGCCATCCAGTTATTTTTGCCGGGCCGGCTAAAATGATTGGTCGTGCTTTTTACAGTACCACGGCTTCCACAGATGACATTTTTTTATGGATTTTTTGTCAAAGCACTTAAGATATTCATGGCTATCGGGATGTTAAGAGCATTCCATGGAATATAACAAAAAGTGTATCTCGAGCCGGTTTCTCCCACCTTTAAGTCATAGCATTCACTGGGATTTAAACCCTAGCTTCTCTGCTTTCGGACTGAAAACCCCAAACACCCGCTTATCAGGCCCATCATGAAATATATCCCTTTTCCCTGTGATGTGTCACCTGATAATAACCATGCACAATGTGTACACTACATTAAAGCCACTTATTGCTCTCTTCAACATCGGTGTTTTGAGATAAAGGTCCAGCTTTGTTAAAGTGCTCGTTGTGGTGTGAAAATGTGGAGAACGAAGAGGTAAAGGAAGGAAGAAAACAGTCTTTGGGTGGAGTAATGACACTGTGGGGTCATTGTGGGATGACGTGTGTGTGTGTGTGTGTGTGTGTGTGTGTGTGTGTCATACTGTAATTACTGCCTGTGTAATTGGAGAGGGTCAAATGGTAATGTAATTGTTTGCCTTTTACTGTCAAATCCTACAGTACTGAAAGGAGGTTTTGCATGTGTCAGCAGAGCAAATCATGTAACCAAATGAGTGGGAACAGTTTTCTGAGCACACTGTAAATGTAGCTAGGATTTTGTATCTGTGTTTTTCCCAAATTATTTTTTTTAAATAATGTTGACGTGTCGTGCCCATATGTACATTAAAACAGTTTCCAGTTGAAGCGATTGATCTTACATTTCATACTGCAACTTAGAAAGATCCCCTCCTGAAGCATTTTCAGTGTAAGTCACGGGGGACAAATAAGGTTTGATTCAAAATGCTCACAAAGATAACATGAGCATTCAACAAGTGTACGTTTACCAAATAAAAGTACATATCTTCCAAAAGGGTAGTACTACAAAGGGGGGGATTTCATACTAAAGGACATCTGCTTGGTTTGTTAAACTCAAGACTGCTGAAGCTTCATATGTTCACTTAGACTTAAAAATGTCCTTTCAAACAGAATGAAGACTTTAGAAATTGAACCCCACTTTTCTCTCTACTATGAACAGGTGAAACATTATTAAAAAAACATTATTTTGATGTACATAGGACATGGCACAATGATTGTATTACTTAAATGTGAGAGTGTAAATATATCCTTAAAGTTGATTTCATGAATCTTTACTATAACAGACCTTTAAGGCGATCTGAAGAAAGTTTTCTTGTGCTCTGCTGAGTGAATAGAAACTAAAAAAACAATACAAACCTAGAAAAATCTAAAAACATGCAAGAACCTCAGTGTGGCTTTCTGAGTTGTCTGCATGCAAGCTGCTTGTAGTTGATGTCTTAACCTTTCTTTTCCAAGTGGAACAATCTAAGTCTTACTAGCTGTAAATGCTGCCTCTTTGAACTCCACAGTTTAAAGTTTGGGTGATAAATGCATTTTGAGTACAGTTACATCACAAACATGAGAAAAAAAAAAACCCACAGTTAACCCTAAAAACGTTTGTAAAGCACATGGAGTGATGTAATGCACATGTGTCCAGATAAAGCATTTGACAATAAAAGCACGGTACATGTATATCCATGTGTAGCAAAAATAATTAAACAACGCAGTTAAACAAATAAAGCACACAGTATAGAAAAACGTAAAGCTGAAGTGAATGCTGGTGAGGCAACAGTGTTTGTAGTTCAGTTCGAATCATTCAATGAACACAAATGCCAGACTTAAAACAATTCAGTGCTGTGGAGAGACATCCAGTGTAGCAAAACAAAGGCAATATGACATGTATATGACATTATAATACATGAATACAATGCAATAGGTTCTTCTACAGGCTGTACCGTATGGCTTCAGATTAAAGATTTCCTGAACCAAACATTCCCCCCCGAGGTTTGAGAATGTTTGCCCAAAGAGATGCATTTGGTTTGAAAAGAATAGTATGAAAATAGTGTTTCTGTTCATTTTTTGAAATGATAGTCTTTGGAATAATGTAAAGTAATCAGGGATTTAATTGTCTGTTGTTTTGAGGATTGTTTTAATTCGAAAAGAGAGGAGTTTGTCCCCTTATATTTGATCACATCCCCCCCCATATCTATTTTGGGAAAAGGGCAACAAACTGGAAAATGGACGATATTTTAGAAATATTCCTACCAGCAGCAAATTAAACGACCACTCACAGACGGAGAGGAAGAGTTATCAGAGCTTTGAGCTGCGGGAGGATGAATGAAAGCATAAATCATACGCTGCGTGTAAATATCTCTGTCCTTTAAGCAGCGATAAAAGCAGGATTTAAAGATGGGGGGGGGAAAGCGTTGCATGTCATTCAACTTGTCACTTCTGGCTTTCAGACAACCCTTCTGGCTTTCAGACAACCCTTCTCTGTCTGACCCAATCTCCACTGCGGCACTTCTACACACGCGCTGACATTTCAAGACAGTAAATTCAATTTGGACCAGACAGGGAAATTAGATGCTTAAGGCTCTGACCCCCCCCCCCCCCCCATCTCTCAGCTGCAATTATCCGTTTAGGAATTTGGAAGCAGCAGGGATAATAAAAAGGGACAAAACACCCTGCGAATACGCTCATACTTTAACATTTGCACATCTGGATTAATCCTCGCTAAGTGAACCATAGCAACAGATGCTTCAGAGAAGAATAGAGTAACACGTTTCTGCTCGTTCCCCTCTGCTGTAATGTGAGCCTTCAGGGTGACAGAGGATCAGGAAGGTTTCAATGGTCGCTAACAGATAGAAAACTGGAGCAGTGAGAAGGATTGTGTTTCAGTGATGAAGTTAGCTTTCATTAGGAAGTTCTTTGGATGGCCTGTAGGAGGGAGGAACTACTTTCTTCCTGCAGTGAATTCATATAATAATCATTGTGTGAAAAGACCTACTTGTTCTCCCGTGCTTTTGCAAACCACGTACTGTATAAGTGTTCTGTTGTTGTGTTTTAAAATGTTTTTACATCATGTATGAGGGTTTTCAGTCTGAGTATGGTTTTATTGTCTCGTGCTTTTACATTTGTTTCTTTTTGTCCTATCTTTTTTGTCTGAATGTATTTATGCTGCTTTTGTATATATATATTATATATATTGATGTACAGCACTTTGGTCAACTCTGTTGTCATTAAATGAGCTATATAAATAAAGTTGGATTGGATTGAAGGAGTACTTGTCGGGTTTACAATCAGTTTTTTGGGCTGTGGCACACAAGACGTTCAATTGGACATGAATCAACAACTCATACGATGTATACTCTAATTCACTGAGCAGCTGTGTATAAAAGATACAATATTTTGACACACAGTACAACACATTAATTAACGTATTCCTGCCTGCAGATAACTCTCCTTGCAAAAACTCTAACAAACTGTTTTTAAGAATGTTTATTTGAATGCCCGTGTTGGATTTTAGCTTTGATTTTCGCAGTGGTTTGCCTCAATGTGGTGCAAGATTACAACACTTTAGTTTGAAAGGGAATTCATAAATATAGGTTCTCGTAATTCATTTACATATTTTACACATCTTAACTGCATAGAATGACTTCTTTTGCCAGGATATGCCTACATTCTCAAGAGGTTTAGAGGTGTGGATGGATTGTACAAGCTACCCTTCACTTGTGTAACAATCGGAGCGGTGATGGAGTTAGATGCTTATTTCAAAAACAAAGAAAGAGAATGCAAATAGGCAAGAAAGAAGTGAATATTAATTAGTTTGATATTATAAAACCAGGTATAAGTTTAAGAAGTGTGAAGTTAGATGGACACTTATTCTTTACATTTATATTAAGAGCGACATCTACTACTGATAACTCGACCTTGAGTGAGTTTTAAAGGGTGTTTAAAATGGAGGTAAAACATCTACACCGAAACGTGACATGATGACAACATGTGATTTAACTTCAGAAGACCGGGGGGGAATCAAGCATGATCACTGACATCAAAACATCTGTGCTGCATCACTTTCTGTCTCACAAGCTTCCCAAACACGCAGCTTTACTCTACGGTCGGAAAAAGCTAATTCCTTGACACAAGAGTAAGGAATGTTTCACATCCAGACAACTCGCTGCACAGCCGATAAACACGGCTGCAGGTCTGTAAGCACGACTGAAAACATCTACACAAACGTGATTTCAAACAGATGGGAGAACCCCTGAAATAAATAGAACGCAAGTTTCAAATGCACCGAGTGAAAGGTTTTACACAAAGTAAGGCAACATATCTGAACCTAGCTACTATTTAAAGTTTGAATATCCAGCAATTTCAAGTGACAGAAAGAAAGAAGAGTTTCAGTGAGATGTTGGATTAAAACAAGCACCTTAAACCCAATGTTTGAAATGAAAGGATTGGATGAAGCGGTTTGCTTTGTTTATCAAATGTAGGCCTGGAGGCCCAGAATGTCTCAAATAGAGACAGAATAAAAAAAAAAATCATGAACAAACATAAAACCCAACACTTATCCAGTCATTAAAAAGGAAAGTAAAACAAAACAAAAGGGACTCAAAGTAAAAACGACATTGTCTGACACTAAAGCAGTCCAAGCCTTTGGTTATGCATAGTTCTTTGCTGAATGTCTCAGACTATCAACCATAAACTCCACCGTCTCTCAGATAGCAGCTGTTTGCATCCGGTCTTAGAAAAATAAAGAGCAATGATAAAAACAAACTAATGGCTCTTCTCAGACTGCTTCTGCTTTGTGTGTCTGGTTTTCGTACAGCGTTAGCAGTTTTGGCTTGATTGGTTTCTGAACCAAAGAGAATATTTGGAGCAGTGAAGCAGCCGTCTCTCTGATTAGTGATGGGGGGGGGGGGGGGGGCTGACCCCTCCACATCCAGCTGGATCAAGCCAGGAAGGGCTGGTCCTCCTCCTCGTCGGCGCTGGGCCCGGGGTCGCTGAGGCACCTCGTCAGCTTCTGAGGATCTTTGCCATCGGCTCCCTCACCTGTTTTGTGAGGCCTCATCATCAGGCCCTGGTCCTCCTCCCCCCCCCTCTCCCCCCCCCGCTGCTGGCCGGCCCGTCTGAACTCATCCATCACGTTGACGGAGTCCGGAGACTGAGGGGAGGCCAGGTCCACGTGGATGGTCGGCACGCTGTCCGACTCCGGCTTGGCTCTGTAAGACTGAGGGTCTACAGGCAGGAGGAGGACATGTTAGTTAGCTTTAAATACGTTTGTCTTCATTCCATGAGCGTGCACGAAAACACAAATAATGGTGGGAGAATGCAGTCAACACACAACACAAATTAAGGTCAACACATCTACCAATGTACAATCACTGCACACACAGGACAACAGGGGGCTTCAAGAACTTTCCAAATATTCACGACACAACAGAAATAATGCCACAACGATTTACAATGCAGCACATGCTGGAAATGATTTCACCTCTAGTTAAAGTTCAGTGTGTTGGATTTAGTGACATCTAGTGGTGAGGTTGCAGATTGCAAGCAACTGAATATCACTTTGCTTTTCCCTCATTTTGCATGACAGAGGTTTGTGATCCGCAGAGTGAAAATCTGTGGTATTCTCTAGGACCTTCACCTCACTCAGAGGCCATGCTTACAATAATGAATATTTAAGAAACAATGAAATTCAGACAGACCTTAGCACTACCACAGAATATAAGTTAACATGGACACAAATACTGTTCAGGTGGTTATCTACTAATGAAAACATAGTTATTTCTGCCAATAATTCCTTACAAATCCTACACACTGAACCTTTCAAATGTCCAATGGGAAGCTGACAGTCGATAATACATCATGCGTGACTCTAATCTAAACAGCAGGGTTTGTTTCTCAGCTATAATGAATCATCCATATGTGGCCATGTCATGAGATCTCTTCTGTTAGTGATGAATAATTAATGAATGTTACCAAGCAACATGATTGACACATGCATGTTAGGATCGCTGTTGGGTTATCACGTCAAAATGAATCTTCTCTACACTCACTACATACCTGGACCGGTTTTGTTTCCCTTTTGCTGCTGAGCAGGTTTGAAATCAGTATCTTTGCCTAAAATGAAACCACACACTGGTTTACATGCTGGCAGCCTCACGCAAACATATTTCCATCAGGGGGGGAAATATCTATTTCTGCAGCAGTGAACAGTCGCGGTGCTGCCTGCAGTGATTATTGGTTTGTAAAGGCTGTGAGCCCGACAAAATATAACGTATCATCGCTTTGGGTGTCGTCAGTGACATGGAAAACGTTCTGCTATTGTTTTCATGTGGTGCCTTTTAGTATGGAGTGTTTGTGTTTGGCTGCAGCTAAGATGGATGAGTTTACCTGAGGACAGTCTGGCTCTACACATGGTGGGGGAGTCGGGGGGGGCAGCAGGCACCGTCAGGTAGTTATTCATGTCTTTAATCTGGGAAAACACAGGGAAAATATGTTTTAAAATAAACACACAAGTTGTTTTCACAGCAGCCCAACTAAAGCGTTTCAGAGATTCATCATTAATCAATATCTTAGAGGCACTTCATTCAAACTATTTGTTGCTTTCTCTGTAGGCTGCACCGGCTTCTAGCACATTTCATTTACCAAAAACAAGAGTCGGTTTTCATTATGTAATTACATTATTATCATTATAATTCATTTCCTCGACACAAATGGGGGCTGATGTATTCATGCAGTTGGGTGTCTCCAACACAAACTTCTGTTCCATCAGCCCCCATTTGTGTCGAGGAAATGAATTATGGAGACTGAAGGTGGACTTTAATTGGAATATAAATCATAGTTTTGGCTGAATCATGTAACTGCTGCCGGTACAGAAGGAGAAGAGCTGCTCTTCCTCCCATTTGGATATGTTTCTTCCTGCATTATAACATCTTCTGTTATTCACCAAATTAAAAAACAGTCTCTGTGTACCACACCTATCTTATTACAAATGGTCTCCTTTGGCGTTGGCTAATCAACAGAATGTGTTTGATCTTTAGCTGTGCGTGTGTCATTAACATTTGACACAGCAGGTTGGTGCCTCAGACTGATTGTGATTTGAGGCATTACCCTCACAGAGACTGATAATATCATATTTATAATAATAATCATACCTTCTTCTCCAGCTCGATCATCTTCTGCTTCTTGATGAGCAAGTCATCGAAGCCATCCTCGAACGGATCAGCCACCAGAGTGTGTCTGTTGTAGGAGCGCAGCTGAGAGAGGAAACACAAATACAACAACTCAGTTTATTCTGTTCCCAAGAGTCTTCACTGCTCCCTGTGGCAGCTTTTGACATTTAACTGATGAGTATTACAGATGTAAGAAGAGGATGAGGATTTGTTGGTATACTCAAATAACCTTTAGTATTAAAACAAATGCTCACAGAATAATAAACCACAATGATAATTTAATGATTAACGGATAGAATATATATAAAATAGTAAGTTGTGGCACTGTTTGTTTCTGTTTATCTCAAGGCCCTGCAGAAAATATGTTAAAAACAGTCCCTGATGACCCCAAGGGAACATTGATGTTTTAAATCAATGACAATTTTTCAGTCCCTAAAAATCAAAGTCAGAATTGGTTAATGTATGAGTAGAGCTACTGATTTAATTCTAACTCTGTAAAATCAATACTATAGTCTAGGGCTGCCTGATATATCGTGTCGTGACGATAATCGCGATATGCGCATGCGCGATATTCACGTCGCAGGACGTGAGATTTAAAAAAAAAAAAAAAAACGTTTTTAGGACGTGCGATATTAAGTAGGCAAATTAACTCGAACACGTCATGTTACAATTCTTTTGCTGCTTGCTACAAAAGGAAAACTTGCGCGGCTCTCATGTCAGGGGTACTTGAGTGAGTGACATGTAGGCAAATCACAATCAAATCTCCAAAGCAAACGGACCCGGAATAACGTAGTTTTGTGTGTTTCTCCAGGGCAGTTCGGCGCTGCTAACCGAGCTAGCTCAGCTTGTTGCTCTGATAACTTAAGATCCAGACGTCCGTGACTAAAATCCTTCATCCGGTTAAATATAGTTAGAAAAATACCAATTGTCTAGCATTAAAGTTCAAGAAAGGATGGTTTGCGGACCAAGAAAACGGTCTTTTCTTCAATTCCTGTATTTTTTCATATCGCAATGTCAGTTTTTTCCAATATCGTGCATCCCTACTATAGTCCCATATAACCAGTGAGAATCAATATGAATAGTGATATGCTCTCAACCCCCCCCATAATATAAGGCAATACATCTTTATTGCTCATAAAGTGGTGTTACCCTCAACCGTGTCCTCTGCAGGTTGCTCCTGAGGATCTTCCTGATCTCCTCCTCTCGGCCTTTAGGCAGCTGGGACGGAGCTTTCTCAGCTTTCTCTGCAGGCTTGGCAGGAGGAGGCTTCTTGGGCTGGATGTTCCTGAGAAATATAACACAGGTTAGGATTATGTGTGTTTGTACTACAGACACACATGACAGGTGACACAGACAATAACAAACCCAAATTATATTAAAGGTCCCCTATTATCCGGTTTTTCATCAATATATTATAAGTCTCAGATATATACAAAACATGTCTCTGAAGTGTTTGGCTCGAAACACCTAACAGATCATTGCAGCATCCCATAATCCCCTCTGTTTCAGCCCTGTTTCAAAAGTGCTGATTCTCTGTCTGTTACTTTAGATGAAAATAAGGAGCCCCTCCCCACGCCCCTCTGAGAGATGTTTGGTTAAAAAGAACACAATGGTGCTCTAGGAGGAGATCCAGGTGATAAGGTGGGGGTTACCTTGGTTGCTGATTGGCTAATGGTTACACAAGCCAAAAAATCGTTATGACATAAAGTGGCCAAAATCTGATCAGCTCATTTTCAGACAGGTTTTTATATAAATGGATCAGGAGAAAAAGTGAGAGAATCTTTTTACACAAAGGGGACACATGTTTATGTCGAAAAGACATGAAAAAGTGGCTTTTGCATAATAGGTGACCTTTAATTATTTTCTCCTGCTATGTAATGATCAGAAGACTAATAGCTAGTGGCTTGTTAAATGTGAAGTGATGTATCAATATTCTTAATGGCCCTGTTGAATGAATTCAGCTGACAGGTCTGACCTTATCTGTTCTGGTGTTATCGCTTCATTTGATAGAGGTAGAGTGAAAAAAGAAAGCACACATGCTGGGTGTTAAGACTGGCCAACGCTAACAATTCCTCACTGACTAATTGATACTGCAGATGTGTCTCATGAGGCGTAAACAGCTGCTTTTTTAAAGGTTACAGCATAAAAGCATTCTGAATAATGAAAAGCAAAGACTCCTCATTTTGGTGCATTCACACATGACAGAGGAGACGATAATTCAAATGCTGTTAATGTAATCCTAGCTGCTTAGTTAGAACTAACATCCATTAGCCGGTCTCTCAATCAAAAGTGATTTTAAAGGTCACCTATCATGCTGTTTTTAGGCAATAGCATAGGTCTCCGATATATAAAAATATATAAAAAACATGTCTATAAAGTGTTTTGCTCAAAATACCAAACAGATCACTCATTCTAGCCATGCCTCATATCCCTCTATTTCACTTCCTGTTTCAAAAGTGCTGATTTGGGGTATAAAGCTTTAAAAAAAAAAATTGCCTATCGGACGCAAATCTGGATCAGCTCCGTTGTAGCCCCGTTTTTAGAGATTTAAGTACGGAGGAAAAGAGAGAGGGTTTTATTTTCTGACGCTGCGTGAGTTCCCGACACACCGGGGACACATATTTATGTACAATGGCCGGCCGTGGCCCAACCCTACATTCCCCTGATAGGTGGAGAGTTGGCCCAATAGCCGTAGCGCCACTTTCCTGACGTCAGTAAAGTGTTCAAATCTGGATCAGTTTTTATCAGATCCGTTGCAGCCCCTTTTTTAGAGATTTGGGTATGGAGGAAAATAGAGAGGGTTGTGTTTTCTGACACTTGGTGAGTTCCCTGGAACACCGGGGACACATATTCATGTATAAAAGACATCAAAACGTGCATTTTGCATGATAGGTCAATCTTAAGAATATTTTGATATGGAAAAATTGAATAAAACGTTCAAAATAAAGCCCTTGACGTATTATAAATTAAACAAAGGACTATAGAGTGTGGTATTAAACAACGTATGAAAGAGGAACTGTTACTTCCTGTTCCATGTAAAGCTTTGACAGAAACTACTGCGGTTAAAAAGGTCCAGATGATGTTGAACTGATTATTACTATGCATTAAGAAGACCTTTCAGCTCATTACTTAGCAGCCGAGCCCACATTTTTTTGATTTAAGGTCACTCTCAAAGCTTGTTTTTGCTGAAAAAGTATAAAAACTATACTGGGAGCTACCTGCATAACATACGGCAATAGAGAGTGACTAGCTATAGATTCAGATATTTCCCCAGGAGTTTGTAGAGACAAAAATCTGAGCTAAAAGTGAGTGAATTTTGTTTAAATAAATAACTTTTAGCATCCAATTCTTCCAATTCAACTTTTAAAGCGTGATGACATATTGCTGCCCCCAAGTGGCGATAACAATCAGTAAAGCTTTAAGAATTCGGGACAGTTTGGTATTCTGAGAGGGTGACAGAAGACAGAGTGCAGAGATGGCAAAAGTACACACATCCTTTACTCAAGTAGAAGAACAGATACTCGTGTTTAAAAATAAAACTTGTTTACTCAAGTAAAAGTAAAGAAGTATGGGCTTCGAAATGCACTTAAGTAAAAAGTACCCATAACTACCAGCTGTTTTAAAGAGTAACTGACCTCCCTTTATTACATTACATTACATTTAATTTAGCTGACGCTTTTATCCAAAGCAACTTACAATTACCGATTACAGGGACATTCTCCCTGGAGTAACTAAGGGCTAAGTGCCTTACTCAAGAGCACATTAGTGGTGGTGTTCCTGGCGGGATTTGAACTCACTATCCATTAGACCACCACTACCACGCTATTTATATCAATAGAACAATAATGTCATTGTTAGCTAATGAATTTTTCGATGCTGAACAACGGCAAAATGACAACATTTTCATTGGTCCCTCTTCTTTAGAGAAGACCAGGAAGTGATGGATACACGGATCGTGTTCAAATCAATAGGCACGCAATGACTCTAAATAATAATGATCACGCCACCAAACACACATTAAAACTAAAGTAACCAGCCTGTTTGGAAAATGTAAGAAGTAGAAAGTACAGGTATTTGTGTTCAAAATGTAAGAAGTAAAAGTACAGGTATTTGTGTTCAAAATGTAAGAAGTAAAAGTAAAAAGTCGTCAGAAAAATAAGTAGTGGAGTAAAGTACTGGTACCAGAAACATTTACTTAAGTACAGTAACAAAGTATTTGTACTCCACTACTTCCCACCTCTGACAGAGTGTACGCTCATACTTACTGCATGGAAACAGTGGAAGGCATAGCAGACGGCATCTTGAATCCTCCTCCGCTCTCCACCATCTCAATGGCCTGTTTGAACTCCATCTTGTGGTAGAAGGCGATGAGCTGTGGCTCCTTGGAGCGCTCGCCTGCAATCAGGCACTTCTTCACATACTTCTTGTTGAAGCGGTTCAGTCTGGGAGGAGGAAATGAGTTACAGATGAGAACAACCACAAGGGAAAATCACAGACATTGAGTAGGAACATGACAGAGAGGTTGTACCTCTCTAATGCATATTGGAACAAAACAAAAAGGAAACGTTTAAAGTGGCAAATAGACAAGCAGGTTGTTTCAACTTCACATTATGAAGTACATGTTGAACGCACAATGTAATGGCAATACAACTATGACACCATCAGTGTTAACATTGGTTACGCCTCTCAACAAAATGCATTGTCCTGTGCAATTTTGCCAGCTTTTTTCTAATAATTGTAGCCTAGCATTAGCTCCTAAAATCTCTTAAACTTGGTAGATGATGTCATAGACTTGTTTGCATCTTGGGGTCATATATGCTTAGCTCAGTGGTTGTGTCAGTGACAGCATAGGCGAGACTGACTGAGCACTGCGTAAGATGAGAGCTCGAGCCGGAGATAGACTGCGATTACTCTGAGCAGCGTTAACTGTATAATCCATACTTGTCCTTCCAGTGGTGGTGTCCATAGTGTCCACAAATGTCCTCAATTCCAGTCAGGAGGTGGTCCAGGAACTGGGGAGAAAAGAGGCAAAACGGTTTTTTAAAGGAGACTGACAAAAAGACCAACAAACTAAAGACTCATCTGACCCTTACCTTCTCTGTGGATTATTTTATTTATTTTGTAAAACAGACCTACTGTAACAAGATACATGAATGTCCAGTAAACTAACCTACGTCCCATGTTACATTTGCTTTAGTACAATATCAAAAGGAATGTTGACAAAGACTTTCCATGTACTTTTTCTTTTTCCAATGTTTTATATGTACAGTACTTGGAGACAAAATGTTAGTTTTTTGCTTTAAAAACCATAATGTATGATCACCAATGTTAATAACTGTGATTACAGGTACACCAAGGCACCACAGACATTACATTTGCGTCACCACAGTTACCATTCCTCCAGTAATACCCCCTCCCAGCCAACATCATTACTAACAGCAGCAGGTGAGCAGCTATAAGACTGAAGTCGTGGGAGAGAGCCAGAAGCACCCAGCTGACTGATGGGACCGCGCTCATTAGCAGTGGCTGCACGCCTGCTCACTGGAATTTATAAATGCATTTGTTTCTCAGACCGCAGCCCTGGTGCTCTGACTCAGTCTGTAGATGCCTGTCTGACATGCAGCGTTACTATGGAAACAAGTCATTAAGCGGAGCCACATAATTTACCTCTGCTTGTCAGAAGAGACTGATATATGTAACGGCTGCACAGCGACGAGGGTGGGGGTGAAAAGGTCAGTTTGGAAAAGAGGCAACTTTATGCAAAATAGTCCAGAAGCTCAAGGGTGGGAATATACAGCATAATGTTAGGATGCTCTCCTGGTTACACTGATACTGAGTCCTGGGTGTATTCCTCTTTCACTACAAACATCTTGACATCTCCTACTCTTAATACTTTTATATGATTATATGTAACTATGGATTCATTTTCTTGTCAATTAATGTGCTGATTTATTCATTTATTGTCTTAAAGGTAATGCCTCCATATATGATATTTTTTACCTATAAAAACAAGATATTGAGTTTAATATGACATAAAACTGAAATTTGAAAGGTGGGAAACTGCATTTTGTGCCTTTCACATCCTAGACTCAGTTATAAATACATCAGGTCAAATCACAAAAACGCATCTGCAGTATCTTTGTGGGACAGGTATGAATTTGGTAAATAATTGAATAGCCTCGAAACCCGATGACTGGGTAGCATTTTATTTCTGATTTAATGCTACGGTGTGAGCAGCGGGAGTGCGTCCTCAGGTCATATCACCGGTGGTTTATGGTGGGAGAGAAGCCATTAGGAGAGCCTGCTCTTCTAGCTCTGAGCACTGATGACTTACTGCAAAGCCTCAGAGAAGTACAGTGTGTGTGTGTGTGTGTGTGTGTGTGTGTGTGTGTGTGTGTGTGTGTGTGTGTGTGTGTGTGTGTGTGTGTGTGTGTTTATCTGAGCTGTATTTATAGCTTTACAGAACTCGGGACTTGTGGATTAGAACCAACAATTGTGTGTGAGATAGTGTGTTCAAGTTAAAATTAACTAAATGGTAACATTTTAGGAAATGTTAATTCTTTGGATTTATATTTACCATGCTGGAGAAAATGTATATATATATATTTCCATGCTGCAACTGTCCACCGTAGAGCACACTATATAAGGTGTAGTACTACCACACAACCAGTAGGTGGAAGCAGCAGTCAGCATTTGATGCCCTGAATGGCCTCAGAGGCTTGTTACTGGAGGACTGCTGATATTAAAATTATCTGCTAACATTCATCCCTTCGCATTTAGTTGTTCCAATTTGTTTCAATCTATACATTTGAATTCACAATTAAGTTCTTTGGTGTATTTGCTTGTTGTTGTTGTATGTTACTGTTCTCTGTTTACAATCCGGTGGTAGCTCATTTCCCCTTCTTGTGAGTGATATGGTTTTGAGTTTGAGTTTGAATCATATGTCTGTGTGTTGGCTAAATAAAATCATACAAAACAAGACAGTAAAGGAGAATGCATTGCTGTTGTCAAACATGGTATCTCGGTGAAAGATCAAAGTAAATTGAATTCATCCATCCCCTATAAAAAGGCTCTGGGTTTTTCATATGTATAAACCATAAAGAAATCATCAGCTTCTGATCATGAAGACTGAGGATGTTTGCAGGGAGAGGTCGTACCTGGGTGTGGATTTCCTCATTAATGGTCCGCTTGGCCTCCTGTTTCTTCTTCACCGCCAGCAGCTCCACCAGGGGTTGGATGGTCATGCCCTGTACGAAGGAGGAGAGAAACAATCATTATTCACCTCCTGACCCTAGCGAAAACACAGAAATAGGCTCTTATCAGCAATCTATCTAGTATTCAGGAGGGAAATGTGACGAGTGCATCTGTAATGTTTTGTATTATTTCTGTGTGGAGAGCCTAATATAAAACATTAAAATCACTACTCTGAGTACTGACAAATCTCTCCAGGTTTATAATACCATTGAAGATAACTAAAACAGATCCACTATGCTTGTTTCTTCATTCTTTCAAGCCAAGCATAAGCACAGTATTGCCCCACTTCAATGTGATGTCACAGTTCCCGGATGTTGCAATGGCGTGTTAACAAACGGCAGATCTTAAAACAACTTTTCACAACCCTGTTGATGTTGCAGAAGAACCTTTTACCCCCTCCCCACATTTCAATTTAGCCACACAAAACATGAAATAAGGATAACCCATGACATTTATTCCTTCTCTTTAAACATGGAGAATGTTAATATGTCAAGTTTATCCCATTTCTTGAATGTTCCAAGTGCTGCTTCAGGCCAATCAGTGGTATTTAACAAATGTCAGAATAGAGTTTTAAGTCATACAGTGGCATTAAAGAGAACCTTTTTAATAACCCAAAGAGTAATCCGTCCATAGTGCGTACCTCAGTTTACTATGGGGGAAATATAATCTACGTTATGTTATAAATGTCCTAACCAACCTAAGATTACTCTGATCATTTGTGTAATCATGCTAACCATAGTTTAATGACCAGTGACAACTAATAAGACCATTTGGCCAATCAGACCAAAGGTAATTAGTTACTATTCTAACCGTTAACCGTACACACTCAATCCCACTCTCAATCTCGGAGTCCAACCTTAAAGGTCTCCTATTATACTGTAGGTCTCAGATATATACAAAACATGTCTCTGAAGTGTTTGGCTCGAAATACCAAACAGATCATGCATTGTATCATCCCATAAACCCCTCTGTTTCAGCCCTGTTCCAAAAGTGCTGATTCTCAAGATATCATAATGTGCACTCACATCAAATGGTTAGGCAACAAAAGCACACAGCAGTTATTTGCTTCTCAACGAGAGCTGACATTAGGCGCTTTCACACCGGAGTACTTTTCCCAGGAATAGTTCCGATAGTTCCTGGGATTTTGCTTTCACACCAAAAAGATCTGGAACTAGAACCTAGTTCATGCGAACCTTTTCACCCCTTTTTAGTGCCTGCTAGAGAGGTGGTACTTTCCTGGGGAGGAAAAGGTTCCAATTTCTGATTGGCTGGGCGGATTGCAAACCACGCCCTGTAAAACTCGGAAAAGTTTTGTGAAGACGCCATTTTATTTGCTCGCATTAGCATTATTAGCATTAGCATAGCGCACCAACGGAGAGAGACTATAACTTTTGGCAACACAAAAAAACATTTTCTAGGACAGTTCCGGGACTAAAGAGTTCGGCGGGACTAAGTACTGGGAACTAAGTACGGAAAAGTACTTGGTGTGAAAGCGGCTAGTGGTGATCTAGGAGGAGATTCAGGTGATAAGGTGGGGGGGGTTACCTTGGTTGGATATTGGCTAATGGTTAAACAAGCCAACAAATCGTTATGACATCATAAAGTGGCCAAAATCTGATCAACTCATTTTCAGACAGGTTTTTATATAAATGGATCAGGACAAAAAGTGAGTGAATCTTTTTTCCTGAAACTTTCAGAATCTCTTTACACAGAGGGGACACATGTTTATGTATAAAATACATGAAACAGTGGATTTTGCATAATAGGTGACCTTGAAATAACTTCACATTGCAGGTGAGAGGGACCTCCACCTCCCCTCCCCTGGTCTCAGCATCAGACAGTATGAATCAAACATGTTTCTGATCCTGCCTGAGGAGAGAGAACATGTCTTCAGGGTTTATTTTGTCTGCTTCCATTCTGGTTCGACTTGACATCCGAGTATCTTCCTACAGTTTCACTAAAAGATGGTTCAGCTGACAGGACCGTGCTGATGCAGTTCATGGTGCTAAATATACATAGTACTGGTATGTATGGAACTACTGCCTGCTTGTCTTTATCTTGCCATCATGTACTGTTTTTTTATATTATGTTGATGTTCATTCTGTGAGATACAGGAGAAACGTCTCTACATAAAACCATATTTTGTATTCCTTATGCACCTGAGTTACATTTGATTCATTCGTTTGTTCACCTGCCTGTTTGGCTATCAGCATACTTTAAAGTGGACCTATCATGCTATATTTGAATAATATAGTATAGGACCATACCTATATAAGGCATATTTATATATATTTTTTTCAAAATACCAAACAGATCATGCATTTTAGCCATGCCTCATTTCGCTCAATTTGAAAAATGTTAGCTCTGTTTTTGCAAGGGCAGGTTCAGTGAGAACAGCACCACCTACAGGCCTGGCATATGTACTACAGCGTCTCCAGCGCTTTCGAACGGCAATGCCGTGGTTGTCTCCTCCTGATTGGTGGAGTTGGCCCAATAGCCGTAGCGCCACTGTCCTGACGTCAGGACAGTGTTCAAATCTGGATCAGTTTTCATCAGATCCGTTGCAGCCCCTTTTTTAGAGATTTGGGTATGGAGGAAAATAGAGAGGGTTGTGTTTTCTGACACTTGGTGAGTTCCCTGGAACACCGGGGACACATATTCATGTATAAAAGACGTACAAAAGTGCATTTTGCATGATAGGTCCCCTTTAAGTAGAAGCTGAAATTACATTTTCCTAAACCAGCTGGAATTGTTTTTTTAAGAAGAAATAGACCAAGAAAGCCTATCGACTTGATGTGTGAAATTAATATTTTTGTTCTATTCAGGGTAGCAAATTAACGTCTTCCTAAAAATACACGAGCGTTCCTTTGATGTCTCATCCTCAGCATGACCATTACAATTAGGGAGATTCACAGGCCTGGAATAAAGGGTTGAGATAGATTGTTTTTTTCCAGTGATGCGAGTGGAAATTCAAACTAGACCTGCTAGGCAAATAAACTACACCTAAAAGGAACTTTTTTGCAAAGCAATATAGTTGGTGATGACAATTGCAAATAAGTGGGTAACAAACAAAACATGTGAATAAATTACTGTCTATTACTTGGAATAGTGTACCATACGACTAACAGTAAAAGAACAATTCCGGGGTTAGATACATTTTGAAGCGTGGGTATCTCTTTGCATGGTGCATTGAATGTGTTCATAATAACATTGCATAACTCTAGTTGCACTTGGACAGACTCTTACTAAGGCCAATGGTGCATTCAGGTGCTCCTGATGTTCCTATATTCAGTGTTAGGAAGTCGGACTGTGTTCATGAGCTTTAAGTCGTAATGTGGAAACAACAGACACTAGAAAGATGTTTAAGAAAACACATTTCAACTTGAGAGTGCATTTACATGGATTTAACCAGACACAGCGTGAAAAAAGACATAAATAAACAATATGCAATGTTGACGAAAGTAAAAGATAATTTGTGTATCAGCCTAGTAATTCGGAACTGCTCCAAAACCTCATGGGGGCTAACTTGAACCATGCTTCATCCTTCAAGTTTCATTAAAATTGGTGCGTAATTACACTGACAGACAAAGAAATACACAAAGTTTTCTCCTTCTAATGTTTGTTTAAATCGGACTACATAAACTGCATATTCATACCTGAACAAAGACGGTGAAGAAGACAACGGTGATGATGGCTGTGAGGAACATCTCCCTCATGGGGAAGAGATCCTTTTTCAGCAGGAAGCCGAGGGAGAAGGCGATGGCTCCTCGCAGGCCACCGTAGGCGATGATGAACTGGTCCTTGGTCGTCAGCTTGACAATGCGGAACTTGTTGATCACATAGGTCAGACCAACCACACCTGGGAAGGACAGTGACATGAGAAAGTGAGATTGGGTTTGGGACTTTGAGTGTATGGTACCTGCGGAGATCAAAAAATGTTCTCTCCAGAAGTGCTTGCTAAAAACGACCACATTAAAGCTTTCCCTCATGATTCACACAGCAGGTTTTCGTTATAATTACAGCCAAAAAAACGTGTTTAAAAAAAAAGTTGACCCTTTCTTGACATAGCGAATCCATTAAAGTCATATCTGCTTTTGCCCCATAAGTGATGTGCGGTCATGCTTTGCTGCCCATTTAAACCTATCTCTACTTGCAGACATGACATTATTTTAATTGAGTGCCAATCACCAATTTAAATGTAATATCAAATTGAAGTACATGGAAACCAATTGCTGCCAGGAGGATTTGAAAAAACACTTAAAGGTCACCTATTATGCAAAATCCACTTTTCCATATCTTTTCTACATCAACATGTGTCCCCTCTGTGTAAAGAGATTCTGAACGTTTCAGGAACAAAGATTCTCTCTCTTTTTGTCCTGATCCATTTATATAGAAACCTGTCTGAAAATGAGCTGATCAGATTTTGGCCACTTCATGATGTCATAACGATTTTTTGGCTTGTGTAACCATTAGCCAATCACCAACCAAGGTAACCCCCCCCCCCCACCTGATCACCTGAATCTCCTCTAGAGCACCATTGTGTTCTTTTTAACCAAATATCTCTCAGAGGGGCGTGGGGAGGGGCTCTTTATTTTCATCTAAAGTAACAGACAGAGAATCAGCACTTTTGAAACAGAGGGGATTATGGGATGCTGCAATGATCTGTTTGGTGTTTGGAGCCAAACACTTCAGAGACATCTTTTGTATATATCTGAGACCTATAATATATTGATGAAAAACAGTATAGTAGGGGACCTTTAAGAATAGTTTTAAAAGAAGTACTGCAGAAGTGATTTATAGTAAACAAACCAAAACCTGTATATCTTTTTTTTCCTAACACAAGATACTGTTCATGTGATGCGAGTAAGATGTGCATGATAATTGATTGCAACAATCCACAGTCACAGACGGCATATTTGTGTTTGGTAATGTTGCTCAAAGCATCATCAGCTCTCTACAAAATAAATTAAGGGGCGAATTCACAAAACGATTGCACGGCTTTTGCAGCCGCTTAACCTGCACCAACAAGACAAAAAGAAACTGTGTACGTCTACAAAGCCCTCCTGGCTGAACTACCAAGAAAAAACATAAAATCATATGCATTTAAAAGCAAAACCAGCCTGTTTCTATCAAAAAGATCATCGCATAAAACAGTCACATTTTACAATGACCAGATCTAGTGTAAAATGATATTGTCTTCAGAGAGTTTGTGGTTAGTGAAGCTCATAAGGGGTTAATAAACTCTTGACATAAGAGAATGTAATGAATATTTTTCTTATTAATAATGTATAATTGAAACCCAATGACATATGTATGGTCTCCAGCAGAGAGGCAGATATGATGATAATGAAAGAAGAGAAGATAAATGAACTAGGTCTGACTTGGGCCAGTAAAAAGAAAGTAGCCCAAGCCCAGTATGACAGTACAAATGTTTACTCGCTATCAGCTATTCTTTTTGTGATTTTGCCCGTCAGTATTGCAGGACTGAAGGTACCTCGTCATTTTTTCCACTATCACTCTCTGTCTCTCCAGCAGCACTATTAACAGTAGCAGTGTCTCCCCTACCATTGTCTTGGCGGGGCGCTGCGCTCCCCCTGAAATTCAAGGTGTTTTTTATTTATTTTTATAATACATATTTATAGCACCAAATTGCAACTCATCTATCTACTGTCACTTTGAAAATTGAACATGTGCTTTTTCAACACTTTCATTTTAACACCGATGCATTAATCAATAACAATAATCCACAGCTCCTCCCTCTGCTCAGACAGCACCCCCCCCCAAAGCAGTAAACCTAGGGGAAACACTGTGTAGTATGACAAATCATCAGCAGAAGGATTTGTGACGTTGTGTGAAGTCAACATGGAAATCCTCGTTGGCGCTTCCCTTACACACACTGACAGCTGTGTGATGAAACATGGAGGCCTCATTAACTCCTGTCAGTGTTTCCATTTCCCTCTTTTAGAAGTTCCTTTTACTTGATTTCCTTTTTTGGGTAAATTAGACTTTACTTCAAAAAGATGCATTTATGTCTTTTGAGAATTGCTTTTTGATTTGCATATAAGCTCTGTTAATGACAAATCAAAGGCTCTTTAAGCTGAAATCTGAAGTGACAGCTGTTTAAATCTAGTTAACCCCAAAAAATGTGTCAGATTTAAAACACTTTTTCCTATGCAGATTAAGCGTTTCCCCTCCATACACTCCACACCCCAGCATGGAAACACTACTTCCATTTGAGGAAGTTGTGAGAATCACTAGAGCTGACCTATGACCCGAGACACCAGACACAGAAGGACGGTGACGGTGACGAAGGTCCAGTTCCATTGGTGAGGTCCGTCCACCGTGGCCACTCCCAGGAAGATGAAGATGAGAGTCTCGCTGACGCTGCTCCACATTTTCAGGAAGTACTTGACGGTGGTGTGGGATTTGTGGGAAATGTTGGCTTCCACATAAGGTCGCATCGTCGCTCCACATGCTATTAACCTGAAAGGAGAAGATTCAAACATTGACTTCTGGGAAATATCAACAAACATCTATTTGGATAACAATGTATCCAAATGTGCTAATGCTTGGATGTCTGTCAACTAAAATGAAACACTGTTAAACAATTAAGAGGAAGTAGGATTAATATTTAAATGTCAAAGGAGGAAGTGGTGGTTTTACTTAAGACATCATCAACAGTGACTATTTTAACACTGATTTTGTAAACATGCGACGCAGTGTTTCTCCTATATACAAATAGTGGCGGCGCTGCTGAAATATGCGCGCCGCTGCTAGGGGGCGCCAGCGAGGTACCCAAAAAAAAAATTATATATATTTTTTTAATTAAAATAATAATAAGTGGCGACCCTTTTTCATTTTTGATTGTTTGTTATGTGGATTTGTAGTATTTGTGTTACTGTATGTTCAATAAAGGTGTATTTTTGCTAAATCTTGAGACATTGCCACTGTATGTACTAGGCGGTTGCCTAGGGCGCCAGATATGGGGGGCGCTGCGCTGGTAGCTCTGGGAGGGGGAAAAACATTTTTGAGCGTTGGCGCTCATCCTAATTTTTGGCCTTGATGTAACAACATTCATAATTAAGTAAATGTAACACCCTTTTCACCCCGGTTACACTTTTCATTTGCCCTGTACGATGGGCGCTGTAAGTGATGAAAGTGGGGGATGTTGGCTTATCAGGCGCCCGCAGCTCACAGCCAAAGTGCGAGCGTGGGAGCGAGGGAGAGAGAGCACCGGTACCGGCGCTGTTGTTATTAGAATCTGGTGCTAGCTGCGCTAACGGATATAAGAAGTAGATGTTTCTACAACCAGGGTGGAGGGAGAGCTCTCCTGTCAGACTGAGAGGCTCAGTGAGGTAAAGGACTCTCTGAGTGTTTAGATAGTTAATTTGAGTCCAAGTTATCTCAGTGGGTCTCAAACGTTTTGACCACAAATTATGTAAACACATATTTCCAAGGCACTCCTTTATAATTATTAGGATAAATAAAAACAGGTTTGAAATCATTCCAATGTATACTATAGGACAGTAAACCAAAAATATCGTTTAAAGTTGGAGAGATACAAAAATATGCATGAATAAATAAATGTTAACTAGGTAAAATAAGATATGAATGAACAACAAAAATAAAAAAAGTTACATTTATTTGTTATTGGCTATAGGTTATTGGTGATGTTCATATACTTATTTGATTATCAAAATGTAAACCTATCTTTTTCATATGGGTGTTTTAGAGTTGTACCCCCTAGATCAGGTCTCTAGTAATTGTGTGCTCAAAGTGCACCAGATTGAAGCATTTTACTTTAAAATGTTCAAAATAATCTTCCCGGGGGGGTATACCCCCGGACCCCCCTGGAGGATGTGACGTCCACCCCCCAATTCAAACATGTTCATACAATACTGAATACATTTGAAGCCATTTTGACGTCTATTACCTATGTCAATAAGTTTCTGTTTTTGTAGTGTATTTGTCTTTTGTAGAGATTTTTCATTTATTCTTTATATATAAAATCTCGCTTCGGGCACCAAATTGGCTAGAACCGGCCCTGGTACTAGGCCTCAAGAGCCTTTCTTGTGCTGGCAGACACATAGAAACAAATTGGTGGGGCGCACTTCGCACGTGCACACACTAAAAAAATTCCACGCGCTCCGCGCTCACATTATGCTGGCCCCACGTGCCTTTGCACCGCTGCTATGACTCCATCCTAGGGGAAACACTGCGACGTAAACAAAAATGTCTTCCTCCTTGTCTAGGGACCACTTCTCTATTCCACTATGGACAGGCAATGTGTCTATGTAAAAAATGTGGAGGCCCGAAATGAACGCTATTCATGTCCAGCAGCTGCTCAGCGGTCACCTAATTTCTACTCCATGTCAATGTTGGTTTGGTTTTCAAAGCTGTAAGGCAGGGGTGTCAAACTCAAGACCCGTGGGCCAAATCCGGCCCGCAACTTCATTTTATGCGGCCCGCAAGAGCTTGCAAAGAATACAATACGTTAATTATACGGTTACATGCCGCTTTACAAAAGCACGTTGCCCATAAACTACATGTCCCACAATGCATTTAGTTTTGTGACACACGCACTGAAGAGACTTGCAATTATTTGCCCTAGACTTCTGCTTTCAGACGTAGTTCATTTTGAAGTTATTACCCTATCCGATAATAATCCAATGCAGAGGCAATAATGTAATGTAATACATTATTTTATATATATTATATATGTATATTTTTTTATAGTCTTAAAGTTACAACCGGCCCTTTGAGTGCAACCATAATGTGAATGTGGCCCGCGATGAAATTGAGTTTGACACCCCTGCTTTAAGGGGACGATGAAAGGAATTCAAACCAGCAAGCAGTTTCGCTTCTACTTTATAAACACCACAACAAATCTAGTTTTGACAGAAAAGAGCCCCAGGCTTTGGAAAAGATTGTCCTTGAAAATACAAATTATTCGGCCCTGAGTCAGAGGGGACTCTGTATATCATCACTCCCTGTCTGCAACCTCAATAACTCCTAGCACCTTCAACTGAACAAGGATTGAAACTGCAGGAGCTGATGAGAAACAGCATGTCAGAGAATATTGGGATTCCTTTAAATCAAGGTTTGGTTAAAATGACGTTGGATCAGATATGGTGTACAGCAGGGCTTCTCAAACTCCGGACCAAGGTCCGGATCCGGACCGAACTGCAAATCAATCCGGACCGAACCCTGTGTCCCATTATAAAAAATAATAATAATAATTATTAAAAAAAAAAAAAAAAAAAAAAAATCTGATTCTGATAAATTAATGTACATCATCATGTACGCGCGTCTTGTGTTTGACGCGTTGTGAGAATGAACGTGCATATATATTTACTTGTGTGCGCGAGCGTGACACGCATAGCAGACCGCAAGTTAACTGCAAGTTTACCTTGACATACGTATGTATTGAATGTGTGTGTGTATACAGGGGCGCCGTTTACCGGCAGGCAAGGCAGGCAAATGCTTGGACCAGAAGGGGGCCCCCAAAGAAGGTAGATTAAGAAGGTCCACAGCAACGACAACATGAAACACCCTTTAATTTACTGCAACGACATGTCGGGAAATTCCATGCATAGAGCGCTTCTTAATTTCAGTTTCGTGTCTCCACTCGGGGGGGGGGGGGGGGGGACTTTACTGGCATTGATCCGGACCAGTGACCTTATATAAAGTTCACAACTGGACCTTTAATAAAAAAGTTTGAGTACCCCTGGTGTACAGAGTGTAATATACCACGGTGTACAGCTGAGTTACTGTTAAAGGGCAATGACTGAAATAGATTGTTCTTGCACACGGAAGGCTGATATTGACCGGGACATTTCATCACTGAGGAAATATCAACATACTAAAAACATGTGATCCAAGAGGGATGTCACTGAAACAGCTGGAGTATTTCCTAGAGCGCACATGATACGCTGGACATGTGTAAGGGCGGATCTAAAGCACAAAACTACAAGTCTTAACGATTCTAGGACAAACAATGCTGACTATGCATGGTCTCAGAAAAGGCTTTAAAAGACGTCTTCTGAATGCATACACTACAAATGTATTCTGATTTGTGCCATACATGTACAAAATGTAGTTGTAATCCTTCCAATAGTTGCTTAGATAAATGCTGCTTGTGTCAAAAACAATAAAAAACAGTCACCTGTGGTTAACTTATGATGAATGAGATGAAACTCATGAATTTACTCGAGAAATGTCTGTGTTTTTTCGTTGAAATTGAGTCAAAAAAGAAAGGTGATTATCCTAAATTGCACATTACTTTGGAATAGATAAAGTAGATGCAAAGGAGTATCGTTATTTTTGTATTTGAGTATTAGAAAAAATAAAACACTGAATATAAAAACAGAACATTCTGAAAATATGTAATTTTTGGAAGTATGGCCATATAACAAACACCCATACTTACGCCATGATTCCAGAGAGGTGGAACACCTCAGCTGACAGGTAGGCCATGTAGGCGTACACAAAGACAAAAAGTGGCTCTATGACCCGCACATGGGAGGTGAAGCGGGAGGTAAAGGCGGCCAGGAGCCCGTAGATGACTCCAACTAGAACGCCTCCGATTGCAACCACCAGGAAGGAGATGATTCCCAGGAAGCAGTCCAGCACCGTGACTGTGCCGGCACCTGAGTACTCTTCAAACAGGTGGTATAACACCTAGGAGAGGATGAGGAGATGAGTGTGAATAGTTATTAGAACAAAGCAACAGGGGGATGACAGTATAAACAAAAATCTAGGTCCTTTAATGCACCTGTATCAAAAGAGGAAGAAAGATTAAAGACGTCATGATGGAAATGTGAAAACAGGGTGAATGTCAAAGCAAACTAAAATACTTGGTTATAGGTATAGATACGTTTTAAAACATTTAAGGTTTTCACACTTACTTAACATGTTTTTTTTGTATATTTAAAGGCTGCGCACATCCGTGAAATGTTCTGCAAGTATTAGGAAAATATTGCTTTTACTGAATAGATAAGATGGATCCGTTATGATACTTTATGTATAAACCATTTCACTAAGTGTCTCACTATGGGAATATATGTATGACAGGCATAATGTGATGCCAGGCAGGATGATCATGCAGATGAATGCCAAACGCTTTAAGGCTAATAAGCTCTGCTCGCGCTCTCTGTGGATCCTCGACTCAAACATGTGTAACCGGTGTGGTTAAGCGGTCTCTGCGTTGTGTTGATAATGGACGAGACCCGAGCCAGCGTAAAGTTGAGACGATCTGTTTAATGACTGACAGATAAAAACGATCAGTTTTACATCAGTTTCCCTCAGTGACTCCTCTCACGTGCAACGTTTACAAAAAGGGCAGAGGAAACGGGAGGGACACAATATATAGGGGGGGAAAGTCCTCACAACAATGAACTCCTGAGCACAGCGACCACACTTCAGAGGTTCCGCCCACTGATCTCCGTCCTTGCCAGGTATTGAACATTCAATAAAATGAAGAACACAGAATAAAATAATATAAAAACCACAGAATTTGTGTGATTATACAATATTAAATTAAATAAACCCCTCTGCATATTTACATCTGTTACACATGCCTGAGCCAATGATGACACTGTGCCGTCTAGCTTGTTAAAGCGTGCATGGAAGCCAAACCCGTAGTTGAATATGACCGAGAGACAGAGGCCCATGGTGAATGAGCAGGGTTATGGAAATACTTGGCGAAGTATTAATTTACATAAGTGTTGTGATAGTTCATGTCAGAAACAAAGGTTGTGGAAACTTAAGTCAGTGCCTTGCAAAGCTATGATGCTAGCGCTGTTGGTAACTTTATACTGTAGTGGAGCCGTTTGTGAACAGGCTGCTGTGCTGTGAGCTGAGGACAATTCAGTGGTGACAGACTAGTCAGTCAGTCAGAAGCTGTGTGTTGACAGCTTTAGTCCAAGGTTATAAGAACTCAATTAAAATATTTTTACTTTTAATATGGAACTAAATCTGATAACACACAAACGAAAGACGTCTGTGCAGCACTATTTTAATGTGTCAATGAGAAGCCCTCTTTGTAAAAAGGGTTACAAATATCTTATGTGTCTCAGAGGGAGAATATCTTGACGTTTCTCTTGCACTATTGTATCTGTTTTATGTCCTATATCTATTCATGTTGCACTGTTGGAGGAGCCTGTGACTGAAGGTTTTCATTGCCATATGTACACTGTAGCTAATGTGCACATGACAATAAAGCCTTGAAACTGAAACTGAATCTTGAGAGCTGAGTAATAACTGACACGCAGTTAGGGCTGTTCTATAATAATAATTCAGGAGCCTCTCAGGGATACAACCAAAGGTTTACATCCCAGCATATCGCATGTATTCTTGACAGAGAGCTGCCTCTAATCAACCAGCGTACCTTATTGGTTTTGTATTGTTTAAAAAAACGTTTTAGATTTGAAAGATTTTAACAAGATATAGGGATGACGTTGTTTAATCATAACTGGGTGTTTGCAGTTTATTAGTATTAGTATTTGTTTGTTTATTTATCTGTTGTTTCATGTTTCTTTTTTCTGGGTAACAAATGTATTTCTTTAAGAAAGTATGTTAATAATTTAGTTTTTGGGAGAAGGGGTGGGATTAAATAAGTGTAAACTTCTTCCCACCCCTTTTCGGATGTGTAATTAAGTAGATTATTTGTTTACACATAATTTAGAATCAGTAATATTTTTTTATATTTTAATTTTGTATTGTATAATAATTCTCATGTTAAATGTTTGTATTATTGTTTTACACATTTGAAATAAATCAAATCAAATCAAAATCAAATTGGAGAACTGACAAAACAATAAAGGCATTGTCTGCTACCAGCCACATATTTCCTGTGGCGGTCACTCACCACAGTGACAGCATCGTTAAGCAGAGATTCTCCAAACACCAGGATGTGCAACAGCTCATTGATGTGGATCTCCTCAAACACAGCCAGCACGGCCACAGGGTCCACGGCGGAGATGATGGAGCCGAACAGCAGACAGGGCAGCAGCTCGATCTTGTGAAGGTTGGAGGGATTGGCCGGCTGGATCTGACACACAGCGTACAGCAGACCCCCGATGAAGAAGGCGTTCCACAGGGTCCCCACCACCGCAAACATCAGGATGGTGCCCAGGTTCTCCATGAAGGGCCGGATGGGCAGGAAGTAGCCGGCATCGAGGATGATGGGCGGCAGCAGGCAGAGGAAGAACAAACGGGAGTCCAGCACTGGGGGGACGTCTTCTCCAGCTAGTTTGATGAGCCCCCCCACAAGCAGACCCACGGTGATCAACAGGCAGCTCTCTGGCACAATGCCGGACAGACGAGGTATCAGGTGGAACCCTGGGAAAATGGATGAGACAAATTCAGTGGCATGTTTGGAGACGTAGAACAGGAAGAAGGGAATTATCTGGAAATCAACTGCCGGATCCCTTGCTTTAGGCCTTAAAGAGAATTTGTGAGTAAGTGGAAGCTTGTTTGTCTCCGTCTGAGTGATGATTGATGTTACGATTAACTGGAATTGTACCTATTGGTTTTCTGACTAAATGAAAGGCAAAAGTAAACCTGGCCAACGACAACATTAGAAAAGCAATGAGATGTGACATACCACACTTCTGTGAGTACGAGCACCACCCTTGTTACATATTCTAACTTCTGCAGAGCTCTTGGGTGAAACAAATAGCTAGAGTATGTGACATTTTAGCAAATCAATGATAATACAGCAGGAAATGTGTATTCTCCATCGCTAACGTTTGTAGGAAATGCAGAGGGAAATACTTCAGATTTCTGTGTAGGCTGTGCGTGATGTCTTTTGTTAAATTTGACTACAACCTGAAAAAAGAAAGCTTTTAAAGAACTGATACTCTAAGCAGTGATTTACATAACAACAGTGGTTCATTGTTATAGATGTAGGTTGGGGAAAGAAACAAATGCACTGTATGCTGATTAGTTACTGGTGTGACATAGCTAAAACAATGGCCTTGTGAATTCTTGAAGGAAAAAATGGAAATAATATGCAAAATATTTATCATATACAGATCTCACATGACATGTTCAGCAAGTATATGCTGCCATGATCATACATATTTAGGACTTAATAATAACAAGCTGTATGTGAAAAGAGAACAGAACGTTACAGCTTCTATTTGTCCTCTGAGACGCACATTGAGCAGCACTTGAGGCTGCTTGGCACCCAAGTTACAGCACAAACATATCTGTATGGATTCCTGACAAATTGTTAATGTTATGATTTACAAGCACTTACTGCCAAACAAATGACAAAGGTTGCTAGACTTTAAAAGGCCCCCCTTATTGTCTGACAAGTTAACATGGGAACATAAATACCCTCACTCCTGGGCTGCTGTGAAGTTTCACATGAAAATATAAAACACAGCATTTTGGAGGGGTCCCAACACTGGACGTACTGACATTTATTGTTTATTATTGACATTTTTGTTTTAGCTGACTGATTTTCTATTTATTTGTTTATTTTTGGTTTGTCTGTCTGTCTTCTGTCTGTGTGGAATTGTGTTTGCCCTGGTGTTAAAGGTAGGGTAGGTAAGAATGGAGAAACCAGCTTGAGTGCGCTAGAATTTGAAAGTACACAACCGGAAAAAATCAGCCTCTTCCTTCAGACTTCCTTACAGAGCCACTCCTCCAACACACACACGAACGCACACATGACCAATGAGGGCACGAGATAAGTTTGTGCACGAGATGGAAGGCTGACAGGCAGGTAGGCCATCCAGTTATTTTAGCCGGGCCGGCTCAGATGATTGGTCGTGCTTTTTACAGCGCCACGGCTTCCACAGATGACGTTTTTTAATGTATTTATTGTCAAAGCATTTAATGTATTCATTGCTATCGGGATGTTAAGAGCATTCCATGGAATATAACAAAAAGTGTTTCTGAAGTGAATTACCTACCCCACCTTTAAGCAATATTTACATTGTTACTCTACCTATCTGAAGTGAAGATTTGTTTACCTACTTTTGATACATGCTCTGAGAGAATAACTGTATGCTGTTGAAAAAACCCAATAAACAAAGTTTAAAACAAATATATATATATATATATATATATAAAACACAGACATGCTATATGAGGTGACGGGAACTGCAGCCTGTGCATAAATAGTCAACAAAAGAAGATGAAGACTTCAAAGAGAGAGCAGCATGTGTCCCATAGTGAGAAGTCTTTCTGGCTTTATTTACTGTACACTACAGCAGCCCACTGACATCTGGTACTGTAGCAGCTGACTGCATGCTGCGTTAACACTGAGACACAAACACACAGAGAAATATGAACCAAAATATGCTACATGCTAAACAAGCTCATAGGGGTAGAGAGTGACTCATAGTAGATTGCATACTATTCAATAGATACAAAAAAGAATACTGTCAGCACTTTAAATAATTCTGCCACGTCAACAACACTGTGAATTTGACCCTTTTTCCCGATTTCATAGTAAGGGAAACATAGCTCATGTGAGAAATGGCCCCTGCTTTGCATTATATTCAAAAAGGATTTAATGACCTTGTGACTGACACGACAGGACCTGTATGTTGCAGTATGGGTGTGATTATATTAGAGATGGAAACAGAGGGATTATCATGTTGATTTGATGCATGCCAACAAGTTGCTCTTCACATCCGCCCGAAGCAACTGCCACATGTAAATATTTGTTCCACCCACCCCTATCATTTTAGATGTAAATGGCGAACACATCTTTTAACCCTTGAAGCTGTTACAAGCACACAGTAGCACAAGGTAACATATCAATAAGCAGCACAGCTACAAAGCTGAAGCTCCTCAGGACAAGAATGGATGGTGCAGTGACAGCAGCAGCACCATATGGCACAGGAGCCACGATGGGGGGGGGGGGGTGGGCACGACTCAGGCCTGCTCCAGTCTGCTTATGTTTGCACAATGAGGGTGGTGCTCAGCTAATTAATATTCACTAATGAGCACATTGAGCACTTTGCTATGTCACGGTCAGACCTTGCACAAATGCTGCCAGTAAATTACCAATCAAAGTAAACAGGTCATTTATTATCAAGACATACTGGAATTATATTTAACTTGTATTTGATCATTTCAACGTAGCAGGGTTTTGTCATTGTAGTATGTGAAACTTAAGCATCGTGGGAATAGAAGACATTCAGAGTAGGGAGATGTGTGTTTTTACTCGGGCAGCTTGAGGACAACAGTATTAGTGTTTCAGCACACAAACCTAACAAGTGCATGTCTGTGGATGATGCAGCTGCATGCCACTGGAGCCCTGGTGCTTTGAGGAAGGATAGTAAAGAGGTCTTTATTTGCAATGGTCTAAAGAGGGCTAATTCCCCCTCGTCGAGATGTCAGAGAGCGAGTGCTCTTTTCATTGCAATGCACTTTATTACAAAACATGCACCACCCACTACTCTACAGAGGCTTAGCAGGAAGGCGGTTTAACAAAGATATTCTGTGATAGCTGCTTCAAACACAGGAAACAGACATTTGTTGTGACTGTCCTTAAACGCTTTTGTAGCAGGATATCAATTCAATAGCTAATTTTGACACTATCCAAAGCCCTATGTTATTTAGAAAAGAGCATCAATCTGCTATTATGAAAGCTAACTTAGCACTCTTATGTTCAGAAAAAATCTTAACCCCCTATAGACACTGTTACATAATTAAGAAGCTGCATCTTAAGTGTTTGAGACATCAACACTGCAGAGATCTCTGTTCGGCGTGGGGGACACCGGACCACACAGGTGGGCCTGCACAGCTCCAGCAAGCTAATTGGCTCCCAGCTGAACAGAAAAGATAACAATGACAGGCCTTCAAAATGAAAATTATACCCATGGTAGTATTTGTACACAATGATGCCATTAACTGAGAACCAATATCAGTTTATCACCTTGCTTTATTACAAATGCGTGTAAAGAATTGCAAAGAAATGTAATGATTTCAGTTTCTCAACACTTTACGCATGTATATGAGGTCTGCTACCCTATCCATTTATCATTCTCTTTAACAGGGTAAGCCTGTTATGAGTTGACCTCTGTCTGTTCTGTTCAGCTGGGAGCCAATTAGCTGATGTCAACGCATACAACAGTGTGACATGGGATCCAAAGAAACACGATCTGCAAACAAAGAGCAGTTACCTCTACAAGTCAGACCCCCAGGGGCCTTGTGCTCTACATTTCTGAGCAAACATGTTGCATATATGACAACAGGCTGCGGGGTTGCACTGCTATACACAGGAAGGATAAACATCCTCTGTAACAGCTGACTAATGTGATGGAAACTACTGAGAGTAACTGAAGGAGTCCAAGAAGACAGTAACTTATTACATTTACCTAAGAATAATTGATGGTGTGTTTTAATCCTAATAGACAGACACAGAGAATGTAATGAAACTAATTCAAATAAACAACTCAACCAGAAACACATGCTTAATTTCAGAAATACCAACAGGGACTACATCGAGTTGTAGACAGGGTATAACAAATCCATACACCCAAAACCTGATCTGCAGTGAGCCACTGAGGAGCCAAAGGGAGAACTTTTGTTCATGAATGCACAATGTTTCTGTTAGACTCACGATAGACCTACCCATACTTCAAGGCTCTAGAAAAAGAAACGAGTATAACTGGATCCAGAGGGTGGCATGGAAAACCAAGAGGGGGTATTATTAGAGGAGAAGGAGTCCCATGATCCCTTGTGTTAAGTGTGACCATGTGACATTAACTATAGGACCTGAGCCAGCGTACTTTTGGCTCCGAGCCTTCACTCTCTGAATCATGATCCATGAATAGAAGCCACGGAGATCTGGCATTAAAAGTACAATCAGGCAATTAAAAATGAGAATTTTAAGTCATATGGAGAGACTGTTAAAGGCAAACATAAACCGTTTCCTGTCAAGGTTACCGTGGCAAATGTAATATTATCAGAGGTCGTAATTTTCATAACATAGCAATGCCTCACATTTCTCAAATAAATACAAATGTGGTATTTAAGTGTCAGGCTCGCCCGAGCAGAAGCTGTTTAATAACACTGAATGACCAAGCTCTGCAAAGAAGCCATTTAAATATAACCTTCAATAAAAAGATGGGCAGTGTAGTCCTTGAGGAAGTAAAAGGAGCACACAGGTCATGACTGGATTAATTAAACGGATTACTGCTGGAACCTCGAGCAGTGGCTTCAACACTGGATCAGAGAATGACTCTAAATGACACATTATCATTCATGGGGGACAAGGAGGGGCAAGTCAAGATTGTGCATAGTGGGCAACAAGGATGAGATCGAGACTAAAAGTAATTTCAGTATCAATACTGACTCTTCTAAATGTAAGAAAT